TGCCAGAATAATTGTGAGATGACCATAAAGCTGTTTTGCGAGAGAAGACAGAATCTGAACAAGTATAACTCTGTTATTCCTTCGGGACACGAATGAAATCGTAATTTATGGGGTAAAGTGAACAGTGTGTGCATGTCCATATGTCCCCGTCTTTAAACTATGCTCCAGTTCTTACTATCTACTACTACTGTCTTCTCTGTGCAGTGGTAATCCCTCTACAGTAGTTATAACTAAATCTTTAATGTTCTCTGTTGGACCCAAGAGCTCTACAGAAGACTATCACAAGGGCACTGAAAGCCACACCAATTTATGTTTTTCTGCTGGAGTCTAAATCGTAACTGACACCCTGTTTTCACTGACAGAAAAAGAAAGATATTCATGTGCGCATATCTGTTCCTCCAGTGTAATCTTTGGTAGAAGCTTCAAGCCGCTCTAATCTCTCTGCCATCGCTCTGTCTCTCTTTTTATTCTGTTTTCACTCCTCTCTCTTTTTCCTGGCTGCCGTTCTCATCCACCCTCCCCAAGTTTGCCCAATTCCCCCTCGGTTCAGCGGCAGGGCACTGGGTCACGGCACTGGCTTGATTTTCACACTGTTCCCTCTACTGAACGCCACATCAAGTTAATCAGGGTTAACAATTGCGGCGGTGCCTTGCTGAGCAGGGCTCCCATCGGCTTAGCGTGGCCTGGCTCTGGTGATACAGATGGGCTTGTAATCTCTGATCTGGGAGCAGAGGGGACGAATGAGGGTGGAGGTATATTGTGGCCTGCTTGGGTGGGTGATGTTGGCGGGCAGAACACAAATAAAGCAGTGACACAGGACTCGGACAAAGTTTGAAATAGAAATGAGGAGATGGGAGTTTACGATATACTGATATTTCCGTACTCAGTAATGAAGTAAAATATAAGCCCCGTTTTTCAAAAAATATTGTAAGATAGCTTTCTAAACAACAAAAGACTGTTAGACATAATATCGGGCAATGATATTTTTCTCATGCTCTCACTGTTAGATAACTCCTGTCATACCTTGTTTCTTTTTTTTCTGGGCCTCAATGCCAAACAGTTATTTTATAGCTCCAATAACCAATATTTATCTCAAGAAATAAGCTTGTTATTTATATGCTCCCAAATCAGCCCTATCTAGAAAACATATCTAACTAAAATTTGACTGTGAGCAATAGAGGATTCACTTAGATGCATCGAAGAAATGGAAGAAAGCTGAAATTTAGTATTGTTTTCATAGAGTTCGAGAAACGGTCAAATTAAAGCGTTTGAAAAGGTGTAAAATGTGACGGAGGTATCCTTTAATCCCCCCGGTGCCGCTCCGCTCTCATCGACCACACAGGTCAGGACTTGAAACAGAACTTGTGCGCTGTCAAGGGTGGAAAAGACCATCAGAATTACAAATCCAGAGTAAGTGCATGTTGTTTTAAGATCAAAGAGAAGGGGGAGGAAAACTTCCAGCGCTGAAGATGACTGAAGCGTGACCCATTTGGCAAAAGCAGAATTCGTTTGCAGTAGCATCTGGTTAGTTTGCACAACACAGCCCAGGGAGCCCTGGCTATAGGCTACCCAGATTTAATTATTCATTCAGTCAGAAGAAGCATTACACAACCATGCTTTCCTGATACGACCAATGAAGAAGAAGAAAATTCCTCTGCATGTCAAACAGCCTTGGGTGACAGAAATACAGCTCAATTTGCTGTAGCAGTTCCACTTCTTGCAGCAACCAAACAAAACTAGACTCTCCCGATGACCTTTTAAACTAAAGAAACTGGCGTAAATGCTAACTTTGGAATGAGATCTTGTATTTTAACCTTTTGTTATGGCAGAATTTCTGTCGCAATGCATCGATTTTTATACCACAACCAAAGCACTCTGCTTCTCCCTTGTTTTCCCCCCCATAACTTGTCTTGATGTCGCACCTCTTTGAAGTGACACATGTATTATTAACACAGGATTCAAGTGCTATCCATGCAGGGACACTCAAGACTTTCACAGGTTTCCGTCGGTGCCACCATTTTGATTTGACTGTGGCTCGACCTGTTTTTGCAAAAACATTAAGAATCTGTGACACCAGTGCACATTCTAAATATTTCATACGCTTGGCAGCTCAAAAGCTACACCGTTCTGGCCTGAGAGCACTTCTATCCATTTATTACCCATCTCAACTAGCTTCATGAAAGTCTTATAATGACCAAGTTGAGGGTATTATTCTTGAACTTCAAAGTTGTCCCGTGAACTGGGAAAGGGCCTTTTAAAGTACATGTGAAAGGGTCAAGAAAAGGGACAAATGTGGGAAAAGAGGCTTCTGATGCCGCAGTGTTGCTTTGTCCACAGTCCCACGTTTAAAATATGCATGTCAGGCTAAGCTGCGGTGTCTCACAGGCCCGAGTGTCGCAGTGCATCACCAAAATCCAGCCCTATCTGGTGAGGGGAGGGCCATTAGTTTGTGAGGGTCAATCAGTGATCAAGCCTGGGGAATGAGATTGAAAAAAACAAAACATCTAAGTCCCACTGAACTCCACCTGCCCTCGCTGCCCTCTCTAGTCGAGGAAAAACATGGTTCACCAAAAGTTCACATGTCCATTATCGTTGTTGAATTTGGATGATATGCCTCGGAACCTATCCCTGTGATTGGCAGGGAGGGAGGAGGAGCGAGCTTACCAAAACTTACCCGACAACTACTGTTGATATGACACATGACGTGTTCTACACTTCTGACCCTGATACGCAGGGTCGCTGTTCGGTCAGACTGACGCTGCAGGCTCTGTATGTGAGTGTGTGTGTGAGATGGTCGAGGGCGGGGGGGTGGCCAAGTTACGAAAAAAAAAAAGTGAAACACCAAAATATCTCTGCTGGCCCTGTGTCATAACATTTCGGGGCCTGCCCCGCCCAACGCCAAAACAGGTTCAACTAGAGTTCACTTCTGAGGCCACGCCCCCTCGCCACCACGTCACCAGGCAGACGACTTGTCGTCACGAGTGAAAAAGACCTCAACGACGTCCTACTTTCTGGTTCGGTTGTCGAGGTCACAGCGACCCCCAGTGGGGCTTTGTCCCCTTTAACTATTTACACTTTATATTATGAACCCCAGGTTTAGAGATGTGCTGGTTTTTGTGTCACACACTCAAAATTTATGTATGGGAGTTGTATATTTTTTTTTATAAGTTATTATTTTGTCACTAAACAACTATTTAAAAACATGTATTTATTTTTTCATACATCATGCAGCATGATATTTTGAAATATCAGTTCAAAATACATGTCATTATCAAATATATAATTTAATGTAATTTAATTTAGTCAAAAAACTGATTCTGAACCGTGGGAGGAAAACATTTAATAAATTGAAGGTAAATATGAACAATATATTTTTTTAGATTGATGTTCATGTTTTTTAATTCATGCTCAAATTTTTTCTATAGAGTAAATATTTATATTTAACATAATTTTTTTTATCATTGTGTATATTTAGATTTCATTATATTATACACTTAATATATACTTATGTTGGTTCAATAATATCCATATCACTGAAAATGTATCTAAACTAGTAAAATTGTTATAATACACAAAATGTCATCTATGAGGAAAATAAAGTCTGGGATTATTTACTTTGTAAGACATGGACCTTATCTCGAGTTTGGTTCTTTTTTCTTTAAAATGTAAAGATTTACAATTATATTTGAATATAATAGCCACTATTATTTACACAAATATTTTCTACATTATAGATAATTAGTTTTTCAAGAAAAAAGAGAGAAAAAGAAATTATGGTAAATTCTCCGGGCTAACCGTGATACAATTTATGATTTGTGTTTAATAATTTGTTACAAATTAAATAATAAAATACTGGAATTAATAAATAAGTAGAAAGAAAATGTAAAAATTATATATCTTTACTAAAGTGAATCCATGTATATTTTTTAAATGGCTATTTGAAAAAAAAAAGTATATCCTACATTTCTTTAATAATAACAATAATAGTAATAATAATAATAATAATAATAATAATAATAATAATAAGTATCAGTGTGTATTAAATAAAATTTTAAAAATGAAGAAAGAAAAAAACTAAAAGGGTGAATTCATAGTCCCATGAAAGCCTTCATACATAGCATTCGTCAATGAATGGGAAGGGGAAAAAAGTAGTCTTATTTTTTCTTTTAATTTATAATAAAAGTTTACATTGCCAACATTGATTAAGTTAAATGTGATATTATGCTCCAAATGGCTTTGTTTCAATGTGTAGGCCTCTCAGTTGATAACATGTAACCAACTTAAAAGGCATGCTATAAAATATATATATTCTAATTAAATTATATTCTAACTGTATTTAAGTATAACAACAACAGTATCTTTGCTCATATACTTTGCACAAAGTTTCTCCAGAGAATAATGAAACACAAGCCAGGGAAGTTATGGTGGAAGTTAATCTTTTCTGTATAGAGACAAGAAATAAAAAAAGGTGAGAGTGTACATGTTAGGTGCCCACAAAGGAACTAATAAATAAATGTATAATAAATAATAAATAAATAGTCTTGTAATTCACAATGTTTTTTTAGTTTGTGAGTATAAAACCTGAACAAATTATCAAAACAATAAACATAACATAATCCAAATAGAGTGCTCTTTGATTACTTAGTGTGCGTTTTCTCTACTGCAAAAGAAAACAACTACGAGACAATTTTTCCGTAATTGTGTGTATGCAATAGTGCACTTGACTTTATCGAGTTATCTGACTGACTGAGATCACACACACACACACACACACACACACACACACACACACACACACACACACACACACACACACACACACACACACACACACACACACACACACACACACACACACACATTAGGCTCAGCTGTACGGACAAGGATATACTTTGGGTAGAAAGACTAAGAGCGCCCACCAGTGTTGGAAGTATGTACTACATCAGCATCAAACCATTGTACGGCTCTGCGTCTTTTAAAGAAGGAATCATTCACAAGCCTTTAACGCCAGGACATTTTAATAGTCACCTTCAAGTATGGTTTGACAGATATCCATGTTTTGTTTTTTGTTTTTTTATTAATTCCGCAATTTGCAGAGTGAATTTACCGATAGGTGATTCTGAGCCAACATCTCCTAATGTAACCACTTTTCATAATAAAAACTAGTATATAACGAGCATTTAGCGTTTCCCTGAGAATTATATTACTGTGAGGTTTTAAATTCCTTTGAAACAGCATTTTCAACACCATGGGATGACAAAACTCTCGGTTACAGTTAAAACCCACAGTAATCCAATTCTTTTGTGTTAGTTCTTTTAGACACGTGGCTTCAATGGTAGAGGCCAGTCTGAAAGTATTAATTCACAAAGCACATCATTCAACATTTGAATGAATAAATACAACTTGCAAAGAAAAAAATAAAACATAAAGATTTTGCAAATGTTTTGCTGTGTTCAAGGAGAGATTTTCATTATATCAGATGAATGGATGTGAAAACAAGTGGTTAGAAATGATACTTCATAAAGGTCGGAGTCCTTCTAAATTATTAGCAAAGTGACATTTTGGCCTAAACTTTTTACTGCTTTTGGGAATTTCACCAACCTGCTCCTCTTTAATGAGCTTATAAAATACTTGAATGCCTGTTTTTCCAGAATATGAGGTATCAAGTATCAAGGCCGAACAGCTAATTTATTCTCCCACACCACAAGGACATAGGTAGGCTAAAACCACAACCATTTCACACAACACAATTAGTGTTATTGTGCATGTGCTGATACACAGGCAGAATGTGAGATGCAACTACTTTAGTTGGTAGTCAGTGCAGAACAAAAAAGGACGGAAAGGATTTCATCCAAAGCTTGCACATGTGGAGTCGGCAGGATTCCATATTTCCATGGGAAATATACATACACACCATAACGGTACTTTCAGCCTCTGCACAGAAAGCTGAGAAGTCCAAGTTTTTCGGTAAGCACTCGGTCGGTGGTGAAGTGTGTGTGCTATCACCTTGCACGCTGGTCCCAATGCAGAGAGTGAAACTGTGGACGGACTGTCAGGTACAAGGAATCTCTCACTGTGCACTGGCAGAAGGGGGAAAAAATACAGGATGAGACACAGTAAGTAACAATTAATTAAGAATAAATGTGAATATATCAACTGATTGTTACTGGCTCATATCATTCATTGATGCAAGAACAAAAATGGTCTTGCATCTATACAACACAGGTCTTGGATCCCTTTAAAAAATATATAATTTGTAAAAAAAAAAAAGCTACCTTCCGTGTCCACTTCTATTGCATCAAGCTTTCCGCTGGATTAGCCACAGTTGTCAGAGTCATCTACTTGCTCCTCTGTAGCAGGTGCAACCAGCCGGTCGTATGAGAAGGCCAGCATCATCTGTATTAGACAATAAAATTAAAATATAAATATAAAAAGACAAAAAAAGGGGGGGATGAACTGTTCAGGAAGGAAGCTCTGAGATGCAAAACAAATGTTGGATTGTCTAATATATTTTGTTTATTTTTGAAATCAAATTCTGAGATTTCTTTCTCTCACACACACTCCTCTTAAAAATCTTATTTAAAAAAAAATAGCATTTAATTGTCTAAAAAGAATTTCTGGTGAGCCTGAAATCAATCTGAACAAATACAGTATGAAAAAATGAATCATATATCTGCTGGTCTGCCTTGACACAAGTGGCCATCTTGTTTTTCTCTTTTAAATATATATTTAGCAGCTGATGTTCGCACAAAGCACTTCACGTAGCTGCCGAGTGAATCCTGGAGACTGATTTTAAAAAAACTTAAAATATTTTAACTTTGACAATGTGAACCCCGAATCCTTGCTTCAGAACTGTCAGAGATGTACAACAGCATGTCCCTTAGAATGAAAATAATGCAAGAAAGAATAGACAGGGCCTTGGAGGGGAATTCCTGGTGGACCCAATTTGGAAGAAAGAAGTGCAAGGTGAACTCCCTTTTACCTGTTTGAAAGTTCACACACTCCTTCTCTCCCAGGCACACACTCACTCTGGTTTTGTTTTCTACTCTTTCAATGATAATGGAAACATTCGGTTGCTGAGCTGTGGTTTGCCCACGCTTCATTACAGACATTACAAGCATTTTGTTATGCTTGTTTGTTCCCTAACGCAAGAGGAGCTGCTGGCTATAGATGTCAACTCACATCTCCAATTCCTAACTTTAAACCCTTTTGTGTGGTTTGTTTATTTCTTATCTGTTCTAATTAGATTCTCACTGCAATTTTTTCTTGAAACTGTAATGCGACCCACATTTGCACAGAGTATGGAGCCTGATTTTAACCATAACTGATGCTTTGTCTTGTGCACATGGATAATGAGGGCATATCAAAGAGTGCTATCTATTTTTATTAATACAAGCACATGGCAGAACTTGTTCTCATTAATCATGATCTCCTTAGCCAATCACATCACCCCTATGTATGAAATGAAAATTAGTAACCTAAAAGAGAAAGGAACTTACGGAAAGTAATATTATTGTCATGCACGAGGCACCATTAGCACCAATACTGAGCCAAATTTAAATTATGTTCCTTTGTACCTTGTATATTTTGTTTTGTGGAGATTCTGAAAGTGACCAGAGATCCAGTGACTGACAAAGTTTACCCTATGAATAAAATAAAAGTAAAAACAAAAAGTTTGCTACATTATTTTCAGATTTTGCTTGTTTTTATTTAAGTAATTATTAGGTGTAGGTATTGTTTGAAATTTTACAATATTGGTGCCAAGTTTTGCTACTTTTTCCAAATCATAGTTTGTTTAATTTAACAAAATATGCTAAACTTCTCAATGCTAAATAATGTTAAATAAGAGTGAATGAGATTTGATACCAGCCCTGCCAACACTGGAGGACAAATAGTCCCTTTTAGCCCTCAGATAGCATAAATGGACAATCACAAACAAATGTCCACTTCCTTCACTCAACCACAGACACGATGTTTTGGACATAGACACATTCTGTGTTTTTTGTTTTTTTTCTCATTCGGCCTCATTGCCTTTTTCATACCGTTAGCAGTGCCAGCAGTGCCATCATCACCCCCATCATGATATACATGTTCTCGGTAAGGCCACCAGCCCACAGAGGACCCAGGATGGTAGCCAGACCTCCCACTGAGCGACGCACTCCCTGACTAAAACCTGCAGTACAAGCGAGACACAAAAGACATAACAGCTCAACACACTAAATAAAATAAAAAGGTACAGGACTTGTAAAATCTGTTGTTTAAAATGTGCAGTCCATGTCACTGACAAAGGACTCTCAATATTTTTTATTCAACAGCCTGAATGAAATATATATACATCAAATACCAAAATCATCCAACATGCAATACTTCATGTTTTCCACTAGATAGTGTCGTTTCTCACCTTGTGTTTTCTCAGCGGTAACTTTGGAGAAGAGGGAAACCTGGGCCACAGCTACGAATGGCAAACCCAAAACCTGCAGAAACACCCCAATGATGAACTCAGTCAGCTGCCATGGGAAACCACCTACAGAAGACACAGATTGCAACAGAAAACACCAAAACAGTGAGTGAATAAGCATGATAAAGCCAGATTCTAATGGGACATTTAAAATGCTGATCATGAGGATGTGTCTATTCTTTAGCTTGCCTTTCATAGACTGAGGATGTTCTATATTTAGCCTCATCAGTAAGTAATGCACCTTCTGGAATTAAACAGACTCTTGGAAATGAAGTTTTTTTTTTTTAATGGCAGCTGCTGATGAAGATCTGTGTGTATAATAACTACAGTGAAGACTTCCTTCAGTGCAATCTGACCTAGAGGTTTAGCCAGGAAGATGAGGCACCAGACACCGGAGATGTTGCAGATGGTCAGGCCGATAGCCAGGACCACCCGCTCAGCAACACGCCTGCTCAGCCAGCGCACAAACAGGAAGCCAGCGATCACCTCTACACCGCAGAGACAGTACATCACGCTGTTCTCCAGCTCCCCATAACTGAAGTACTTCTGGGTCAGCGGGGTCACCATAGTCTGAGGAGGGAATGGAGGGAGACGTTGGCACAGTTAATTAATTCCCATATTAACAAGTATTTTTTCCTAAAAAGTCCTGAACACATTAGCCTCTTTAATAGTCTCCTAATTAAAGAAATATCAAGATGGTTTTTTTTTTTCAATCAAATTACATCTATGTGTAAGTGTGTGTGTTTGTGTCTTTACTGCACCTCCAGCGCCGTCTGATTGAAGAGAGTGATGAACTGAGCAGCCAGCAGCACAACCACCTCTTCTCTCAGGAACTCTAGAGAGACATAGAGACAGTCAGAGACGGAAGACCTTCACGGTTTCCTCGTTGCTACAGAGAGTCACTACTATCTCCATGAGTTGTTAGCCATCTGGATATCTTGGTAATCTCTGAAAGAAGTGTGATACAGTGCCTATATCTGGGCACCTCCTCATAAAGGAGGACAGGACAAAGACAAATTAAGCTTTTCAATGGACTAGCCACCACTTTTAAACCTCATCAGCATGTTACAGAAAGACACATTTAAGACATATTCATCAGAGTGCAACCTAGGCCCAGTTAAAAAGGTAATATAAGTAAACAAAGCTAACAAAACTTAGCCAGTTGAAGTTTACAATTTAAAACAGGCAAAAGGATTAAGTCCAGTAGTGTTGAGTAAATCGGATATAATGGGAAAAAGTTTTTTAAAATATTTTATTATCAAGTTTTTAACAACTAGATGTCACACCTCTGGATATGCTGAAATTCTTAAAGGGGCTGGAAGACTCATGGGACTCTGATGGCACAGGGGAGAGAGGTGGAGAGATGTGATTCAGTGTGGCGTTTGAGGCAGCAGGGGTCCGGTGTGTGGGTGGGCTAGAGGTCACTACTGAGCCGTAGGACCCCACCAGCTCCTGGGACACCATTAGCGGCTTCTCCTCTTCATTGTCTTCTTCCACAAGCCCTTGCTCGCTCTCCTCCTCCCTGCTCCGGCTTTTCGAATTCTCCTTGGCCTTCCCCTTCTCCAGAGGTGGTAGGTCCCAGTACATGAAGACCACGGCAAGTTGAAGGAGAATCCACAGCAGGCACATGAACAACTGCAGGGGGTGGAGGAAGAGCGTTACAGCTTTTCTTTGGTCAGTGGTGACTAAAGGTTAAACAATTTAATTTGCACCATATTTTGGTCATTACCCCTGGTGCAGTATATTTATTGACCACAAAAGGACCTAGGTGGAAATCACACAGCCTCAGGAAGATGTTAAATGCTGGACCTGTGTCAGACAAAAAGTTAAAATGTGTTTTAACCATATGTTACCACCAAACCTTAGCAAATTATTCTACATAAACTTAATAATGAGAAAATGAATCTCAAAAGCAACTACAATCGTACAGACTTTTTCTTTTTGACACATTAAACTGCATGTGAAATGTATCAGGGAGCTAGATCCTGAAAGTCACAATAACCTTGTGTTTTTTTTTCTGTGTAAAGAACAATCAGAATTCATAATAATTAAACTCAAATGATCAGCAGTCAGCGGTTACTATTTGTCATCAGAAAGCTAATGAGAACTCACCAATCAGGAGGCCAGCTTGTCGACATGCCATGACAGCAGCGAACACAGTGGCACGGTCCTCAGGGGCAGTGCTTCTGGTCAGGAAGCCAAAGATAGATGAGCCAGCACCTGTGCCAATGCCTGAGGAAAATACATATTTCATGAGAAAATTACTGCTGACACATTGAGGCTGAAAACTGGAGCGCTGGAGAGGATGTACATCATTGTCATATTGTGTCATATAGCTTCTTATTATGTTCCTAAAATATACGAAGCCAGAGTTGTTGTGCCTCCTTGTGGCATTATCAATGAGCTTCAATTCTGAGATTTTTGGCTGCTATTGAGTGAATTTAAAATGTTATCTTTTCAGTTGGGTGTACCTTTACATAATGATCCTGCCAAGCTGCACTGATATGCTGGGTGTATTTTACTGGCTTGTCACCAATGAATGAACCAAATTAATAATTAGTCACAGTGTCACTTTGTGCAGACTCACCTGCCACCAGTCTGCTTGACAATAAGAGCCACTTGGAGAACCCCATAAAGTACATGAAATTACCTGCAGAGGAAAAAGATTATTTTTTAGTATTCAAAAGTAAAGAAAAAGTTCAGTATATAATAGTACTGGGGTCCGAGGGGTTAAATACTTGTTTCAAAGCAAGTAGTGGTAGAAATAGGAAAATATGAGTGGACTCACCAATTATCTCAAAAAAGTTTGCAAACAAGATGATCTTCTTTGTGGCCCCTGTCCTGTCAGACCAGTGTCCAAACAGCGGTCCCGACAACAGGCCACTCAAGCTGAATGCTGACAGGGCCAGACCCAGAAAGTAAGGCGCTGCCTCTAAAGTCTGCAAATACCTCCATATTGTGGGCAATATTACAGCTGGGGAGACAGAAGTAAGCAAACATATAAGTACATTTTCTCGTAAAGTATTGTTATATATCAGTGTCTGATTTGACTTGAATGATGCTGAGTATTTAGATCAGAGCTGATCGACCATACTGTGGCTCCATTGGGCTGCCTGTAAGTAAGCGTAATCCCCCTGGCTGTATCCCCAATGTTTATTGAAACCCTGTGACTGCCCTGAGCCCTATCGTGATATTTATCAGAGGAGGAGCAATACGAATACGCATCATAGCTGTAAATATTTCCCTTAATTAAAGGTAAATTATTGATAAACTAATCCACATACATTTTGTACCTACCATCAGACCTTCCTGACAACTACAAGTCTGTATAAGGTCTGGAAAAAGATATTTTTTTACTTAAATATGTTAAACTATTAATGCATTAACGCTCACGTTGCATGCTGTAGTAATGCAGAAATAGCTGCCTGAACTCATTGTGAACTTTAACTTTGGCTGGTAGCTCTTTCACTTCCAGCTTTATTGTGATATAGACAAAGGGTAGCGCTGACTCAATACAATCCTAATTCAATTCTGTGTTCGCAGAATTCCAGATAGCAATCATTGCTCAAATTTTCTTGTCATCTGGGTGGGCTTGCCATTGTTTCATCACCCTGACAGAGATGTCTGTATGTGAGAGGGAGGGAAACTATATGTGAGGGACCAAAAAAACACTCTAATGCAATCAAATACAACAGTCCTATAATAAATACCACCATTCTGAATCTTAATGGCAGTGTAAGCGTGACATTGATATAATGGTTCTTTGCATTGTATTGTAAAGCTTTTCTAGTTTGCCAATATAATTGACAAGGAGAAAATAACACATATAACATATTTTAATATAAAGCCTCAAAATGTTCCATAAAATCAAGTAAAACACAAAAACAAGTTCTTGTCTCAACAAAAACATTTCACCTGTAAGTAGTGATCATTGCAGGAATATATTATATTGCAGTGCAGTGTATCGAGTGACCAGACACTTCAGATTCACACATCAATAACATGTTCCTACAGGTGTTGCAAACCCTGTTGCAATCATAGCTCAGGAGCCATCTGTGTAAGGGCCTAAACTATGTGCTGACCCTTGACCCTTTCAGTTAAATACTAACTGTTCTGCAACTTGATCTAGGTGAAAACATCAAGGTCGTGTTGGTGTTGTTTTGTGTTAGGCTATTTTGAAGTTTTAACAGCCTGAGAAAGATTTCCTATTCTACAATTACACACAAATTCCACAGGGGGGGTTCTTTGAGGCAGAATCTATAATTTGTTAAACAGATGGTGTAGATAAAATGTGCTTACAATACAATGTCACAGTGAAATGAACTGATTGAATAGTGAAGCTGTATTGGAGGAATTTTGATTCACTCATTGCCCTCAGATAGGCTCATAAAGGCTGTGTCTCCTCAGAGGAGGTAAAATGTCAACAGGCTCCACTAGTTAACATATTAACCAAGTTCCAGTAGGCCAAGTATGTTCCATAGTCACTAAAATGAATGTCACAGTGAAAAATACACATAGCATCAACCATCAGAAACATATCAATGCATAATTATGATTAATTATAACTTGATTTAAAATAGCCTGACACAAATGAAATGACAGCATGTATATGGTCTTATTAGAGTGAAAACATGTATGTGTTAATGGGGAAATTATTAACTTGACATTTACTGATCATTTTTTGTGTCCCATTCTAATACAGATAGTCAATTTCTGGGATTTAAAAGGGGCGAACGCCAGAATAATGACCCAAAACAGCACCTTACCATATTCCACACCGCTCAGAAGAAATAGAAGACCAATGGTGAAGTATGTCAGCTTCCTTTTCCGTCGGTTATCCATCGTGTTTGCCCTGCTATAATCTTCTTTCTATACTTTGACTGATCGCCTTCATTATTCCTCCAGATACACGTTCATTCTAGTCTCTCTCTGTCAGAACACACCGCAGCTATAATCCCGAGTGCAGTGCTTCCAATTAGAGGAATACGCAGGGACATGTCACCAAGCCTGTCCGCAGCCCGTTTGGAAAATGCTTAAAATAAGAATGCATATTGTTAACATAGCTTTAGAGTGAGTGCGCACGGGGCGGTACACTCCCTGAGCAGGTAATGCCTGAAACACCAGCCCCGATTCGCAAAACACTGCACAAGGCAAACGTCCCCGGGATGCTCCTGCGCAGTTAAATCCCAACCTACATCACTTCCGGGGGACTAACATACACCATGGCACAGTCCCAAGCACTGACCTCCCCCCGAAGAGTTGGTGCACACATGTCAGATGAGATGAAATATGATGATATTATTTTGAAAAGAGGGTCATTTTTTGCAAGTTTATGTAGATTTTCACAGTAAAATGAGTAGAAATTATTGAGAAGGCAGAGAAGACTCAAAGTAAGTTAGGTAAAAAGACAAAGAAAGTTATTTTTAAAGACAGCTCTTTACAAAATACATCTACAGCAATCAAATTACTACACAAGCTGTACTGGAAAACCTCAAAATATAAAGCTTAAGCTGTCTGAACTCCAAAAAAAGTATGCCAGAAAATCATGTGGTAGCAAAATAAGTTATTCCACAGGAGAACATGCCTGGTCCAGTTATTCTATGTCCTCTGACTGAATGCAGGTTACAGCTGCACTTTGTCACTTCTGTGCTCCAGTCCAAGGCTGCTGTTGCCACCAGTGGGAAAACGAATTTACATACATGATTTACTCCAACCATTCACCTGCAGGGCATGTGAGCAAATAACCCACAGTTTCTACGGTTTACGGTGTGTCAGAGGTACACACATTAATCATCCTGGGTCCTGTGATACTTAAAAAGCTGTTTCAGAGGCTTTCCCACCCCAGCAAGAATATTCTGATGCAAAACCCAAAATATTTTTAAGTGTTTGGGTAGGAAATGTTAGATTTAAGTTACTGATCAAGACAAAATCTCCTTCACACTCTGAAGCTGCAGTACTTAAATGGCTTTCAAGAAAAAACATACAGTATACCATTCAAATTCAATATTTCCAGTTGGACTTCCAACATATATATTCCTATACTAAATTGTGTGGTATTCATACAATTTCTTTCTTTAAGCCTACGTGCTTATTCTACAGCAGCACTACATTCAGATGTATTTAGGACTTCCCATGCACATATCAGGAGTCTGTGTGAGTCACTGGCAGTGTTCCATCTCCATCCTGTGACATCAATTACTGACACTGAGACGTCTGTGCTGCACACAAAAGCTGCCTCTTTGCCCTTAATTTAATTTTATGTCTCCTGAGCGTCCGCATTTTAGTTAACTGCCATCCAAGCAAATATAGAACGGTTGCCTATGGGATGCTGGGTAATAAAGTCCCATCTGCGAGGTGGGAGAAAAATATTTTAATTTCCTAAAATATTTGCCAGAGCATCCTGTCAACATGTCAAGTTCAAATATTTTAAGTACCTCAAGGCTGTTTAATTTGTGGTTTGCTCATGCCAAGCAAAAACAGCTTGAAGAAAAAAATAGTTTCAAAGCTGTTTTTGCTTGGCATGAGCCAACCACAAATTAACTTTAACTAAAATATGTTTACTTTCAGTCAGTCAGTCTAAAACTTCTTGCCATCAGGATCGATGTCCTTTACATCAAAGATATCTTCAAACAGAATTCCAGCCATCTCTGTTCTGGTCTATAAACTTGGAAAGGAAAACAACAAAAAGGATATGATCAACCAGTTTTTAACGAAATATCTGGGAAGCTTTTGACTTCAGTGACAAGCGTTCATATCTTATCTAGTGATGGGGAAAGTATGCTCTTTCAAACAAGGTGTCTGCAGGTTTCATGAAGTTTAAACTTTTTTAAAGCTATTTTAATGTCAGATAAAAAGATGTAACACCTACAATGTTTGAATAAATAGAAATACCAACTGATAATAGTATAGTTACAGGTCATTATAGTCAGCATTGCTATAACTGACCACAAACACAACAGGAAGATCCTCTTATGCTACGCTGCGAGGAATGATATAGCAGCACACTATTAAATACATATTTATCAGCAGAGACAGAAACAGATAAAGGCAGACACACATATTAAAGTGTCAAGAAAAGTTATGTTTAAAGAGCATTTTAGTGGGTTTATGATTTAAAAGCCTGGTCTAAGACACCCTGTACAAGTTACATCAAACTAGAAAGATGTTGAAAAAAAACTATTATCTAGATAAAACGTTTGCTTGACTTACTGTTGAATATTTTAGACCAATATAGCAAAAAATTACCACTAATTTGATTTTTAAATAATACTGGACTACATCTAAAATGTTCAATGTATATCCGGATCACATATTACCTTTTGTCAAAGTTACCCAGTGCAAAGTGCAGCAACTGGCTACTGAAATACTATAACTCAACGTTAATTTAACGGCATCTGGTGGTATAGCTGAATTAGCGTTATGAGGTCTTGAAGAAATCCTTCTGAATATAAACTTGAATATGTATAATGTCTATCCATTATGTTTTTCCAAAGACTCCTGCCCTGTGAACTACTGCACATAGTTACACCACCTTCTTTATAAAACCTTTTCCCACGCTCTTTACTGGAGCAACACAGCTTGTCTGCAGTCCAAATATTGAGAAACAGTGTTACAAATGTACTCCCCATTCCTGCTGATAAGTAAAATAAACCCCAATTCAGTATGTTTGAAAAAGCACCTATGCAGTTGTTGACGTTACAAGATGTGGTGGAAAGAAGAAAACACAGAGAAAAAACACGCCAAGACAAAAACTATTAAATGATTAAATCATTTTGTATAAAAGAAATCTTTATTTACAGTTTGCCAGCAGATTGAGGTTGCAGCAGTTCTTACGTGTCACAGTCTTTAGTCGGGAGTCCATATCCTTAGAGGAAACACATTGTAACTACCAGAATAAAAAACTAAATATGCTTTCTTCAGCCGCCATGTGTTCTGTCTGTGAGTTGCTCTTGGTGATGGTCATGTGCTCCAGACTCGGAAACATTAATGTTTTCAGTATGCAGCTCAGCATGACTTTAAAGGCTGACTGTGGCACTGGAAGAACCGGGGTGAGTGGCTGAGCAGAGTTTGGTTCTAGAAGGCCAGTTTCTTCATGAGTAGGTAGACCCTGGAGTCCACCTCAAAGCCATGAAGGTTGTTGGCGTCTCCCTGCAGCCTCATGAGGAGGCCGCCGTAAGACACATAGGCAGAGCTGGGAGAAAGAGCACATCCATGCAACTTGATTAACGCCAACAAATGAGGGAGCTTCCAAAGTTTGTAAAAAAAACTGATGACAGTATGATAATGACCTCTCATTATCACACACACACACACACACACACACACACACACACACACACACACACACACACACACACACACACACACACACACACACACACACACAGTCTTTTGTTGCAAATTAATGACTTTCCATTAATGCCATACACAATTGTTGGTGATAATTTGCAGACAATGGTGTACTGATGATAATCCACTTACAAGCAACCAATAGTGTGTGTTCGTCATGCTACCTTACCGGATTTTATTTATCTACAAATGTGAGCAATTTTAAATTAAAATAATGTTTTCATTACTTTTGTTACTGTGGTAATTACTGCCCTAATAATGTATTAACAACAACTAAAATGCTACTTGTAATTATTCTAATGGTTTATTTGGCTAAGTTGTTTTATTAACATATAAAAGTTTAGGCAGAGCAATTATACATAAATAAATAAAATAAAATCTAAAATCAATTAAGTACACTCACAGTCGTGTAGCTGCTTCTGTTGAAGTCTCATCGCCCTCAATCTTGTAAACCTTCCCATACATTACGTAATCAAACTGGTCAGCTCTGGAAATACAAACAAAGGTTAAATTAGAGAGAGAGAGAAAAAGGAGCAAAAAGTACAGCATGCTACAGGGGACAGTCACACCAAAAACATACACACAAATGGTATTAAATCCTTTAAATAAAAAAGACCACCAAATTAGGAATGTATGATATATTTATATATATGGCCAATAAATTGTTGGTTGATATAGACAATATTATAATATGTACTATTCTGATATTGAAATTATAGCCTCTACATTATAATTTCTTTGTAAAATGTTCGATAGGCTATATGTTGCATGAAAGCCAAAATATATTTGTGAAGCTTTTAAAATAGCATTTGTTACTAATGTTTAATGCATCAATATATGAAGACAAACTGTCATACCTAGATGGCCGGTCATCCTGAGGATTGTACTCTCCATCATCTGGTGTTCCATCTTCATATAACGTGCTGGCAATAACCAGTCTGAACTTGTCACCTTAATGAAATGGACAAATGCAGATAAAAATACAGCGGGTTTAGTAATGGTACAAGTGAGTGTAACCATGTGACCAACTTTTCAAAAAGTAGAGCAATTGCTTTATCAAGAGGTGCACTGATAACACATACATGATACTGTATACAAGCTGATTTGAGAATATGATTGTGACAAATGCCACCATTAAATGACTTAAAGCATGCAACTTAAAATACATATACACAAAGACTAAATGGTTGCTCCTTACCAAGATCAACAGGATAGATCTGAATGTTCACATCCAAGATGAGGTCCATCTTAAAAGATTCACTTTCGCAATGTAGACGAGACACTGCAGCAAATAACAAGTAACATTGTACAGTTTGTATTTGCTCATATGCAGTTTCAAGGACACTAATGGAAAACAACACAGGATACATGATAGAAACCAAATGTAAATAAAGAGACGCAAAAGAGAGAAAAACATCTGAGTGTTTAGCCTGAGAGATGCTAGACTTTATGATTTTTAGATTGTGTGATATTTATTTAAAAAGAGTAAAGTGTGTGATGGTTGATTACCTGCAGTGATTAACAGAATAGTCGTAAAGACCAGAGACTATTACAACATACAAGCATTTGGTTGTTGGCTGACGTTATAACTTTCCACCGTAAACCGTTTCACACACCTCTGTCAAACTTCTTGCCATCGGGATCGATGTCCTTTACATCAAAGATATCTTCAAACAGAATTCCAGCCATCTCTGTTCTGGTCTATAAACTTGTAAAGGAAAACAACAAAAGGATATGAACAAACAAACAATAACAAACGAAATATCGTATTAATCTTATCTAGTGATGGGGAAAGTATGCTCTTTCAAACAAGGTGTCTGCATGTTTCATAAAGATAAAACTTTTTAAAGCTGTTAGAATGTCAGGTGAAATGATGTATCACCTGCAATGTTTGTTTATCATGCTAAAATATCATCAGCATTGCTATAACTGACCACAAACACAACAGGAAGATCGTATGCTACGCTGCGAGGAATGATATAGCAGCACACTATTAAATACATATTTATCAGCAGAGACAGAAACAGAGATAAAGGCAGACATTCCTATTAAAGTGTCAAGAAAAGTTATGTTTAAAGCACATTTTAGTGGGTTTATGATTTAAAGGCCCGGTCTAAGACACCCTGTACAAGTTACATCCAACTAGAAAGATGATGCTTGACTTACTGTTGAACATTTTAGACCAATATAGCAAAAAATGACCACTAATTTGATTTTTAAATAATACTGGACTACATCTAAAATGTTCAGTGTATATCCGGATCACACATTAGCGTTTGTTAAAGCTACACAGTGCAAAGTGCAGCTGAAATAAATGAGCTCCTTCACAACACTAGCTTTAACTCACACTGACGAGGACACATCCCAACCCATAAGAGCCAATGTGGAACATATGAACATCAACTAGCTAAGCATGTAAAACGTAAACATTAGCTGGCTTCTAAATGTACTATGACTCGGCGTTCATTTAAAAACACGTTGAATCCTGGTGTAGCTGAATTAGCGTTAGCCAAACTAATGAGGTCTTGTCATAACTACAACTTCAGCTTGTGTTTCCAGTTCAGGCTAGCTGTTAGCATTGGCATGTTGTACACACACTTCCCCAAGCTTACCTCAAATAAGACGAAATCTTTGTGTGATATTATGTACGGGAAACCGTCGCAGTCACAATGTCTCTCTCTCTTTCTCTCCGTGTGTGTAAAATGCGCGCTAGATATCTTATTGGAGGAAAACTTCATTCATTACGGTTTGAAAGAGACTGTACCGCCGAGGAACAATGTGCTCAACCTTTGACACGCAAACTGCTTCCGGTCGAAAATACAAACTCGTTATTAAGTGTTGATATTAAAAAAAAAAAAATGGACGAATTGTAATTATATATGTATGACAAAATAAACAATATTATAACAAAAGAAAATCAACGTTATAGCTATATATCTCGTCGTTATTTTAATGTTAAAAAACATTAGTGTAAATAATTATTTATTAGCTAAATAAAGCATGCTTTCACGGGAGACCGCGCAATATTAAGCATTTTTTGATAAATATAAAAATAGTTTGATAGTTTCGGATAAAAATAGCGTTAAGTAAAACCAAACCGGATGCTGACACGATGAGCGCGTTGAGCTGTCATTGTTTTACGACATTTGCCTCCACTTTCCAGCCTGAATTTCCCAACCACCCGGTTGCTAGGTGTTTTAGCGTCCTAACTGTGTACGGTTGCTAGCTAATGGCTGGCTAACTAACGTCAGCTTAAGTGAAGCCCAAAAGCTTTGGCTAAAATGGATTATATAAGTTTCAGTTGTGGATGAGCACGTTGAAAGCAACATAAGCCTGTAGCCGAGGGAAAATATGTGCGAATAAGGTGAGAATGATGTTCCTCTCTTACCGGGAAATAACGTTGATTAGCCGTCAGCTAGTGACTAGCTTGTCACATTTTGACTAAAGTTGATGTCGTCGCAGAAGTTGTTTGTTGAAGCTAATGCTAAAATTCAAAAGCAGCATATCTACGTCCTCGCTGTGGTCTTACAGCTTTAAAATGCCAGTAAAATGTCTGTGTTAAATAATTCAGTTAAGAATATCACTGTTAGTTACATTAAAACCTTTTTATTGCTGCTTTACCTCAATTTTAGACCCCGAAACACAAACACTCATCAGTTGCACCTTAGTGATTGATAATTAAAGTTCTTGTGTGCTACACTTTCTCACATGACTATCACCAGTGGCATGTAACGTTACTGTCCTACCCTTGCAGGCTCTGCAGAATGCTGGCTGGAGGTATAAACGTTATTTAATGAGAACAGAAGTATTTTCTGTCGGTAGGTGTTTTAAAGGTTTTGGGCACTCACATGAGTTCAAGGGAGGCAGCCAAGATGGGGGACATCTTGGCAACTGAAGCCGATCTTCTTGGGATGGTCAAGGAGGTAACGCATTCAAATTTGGATAATCCACACAGAGCAATGTGGAATTCAGACTGAGCATCAATACAAGTAGTTGTATAAGATGATGATGGAGTTATTGACACTTGTGCTTGTTGTGTGTCTTTTGTAGTATCTTAAGTTCGAGGACTTTGAAGAGACTGGTCACGTTTTCGACAAGGAGTGCAAAAACAAAGGCAAGCTCGTCTCAAAGCCTCAAGGAAGTATTCTGAGGGACTCAAAGACTCGTGTCATTCAGGTAAATGATACATTGCTTATAACTTGTCTTTCCTGCAGGAGCGTGATATTTGCCCACACATTGCTAATTATGACCGTACAGCTGAGAATTATCAGCCTGTGTTTTTATATTATTATCATAGCTCTGAATATCAAAGGGAAAATACACATTCCACTTTACACACGTCATCACACAACAATGATGTGAGAATTACATGAAGTACAGCAACCACAGGCAAAACAACATGAAAACAAGACTCATAATTCTATCGGCAAGTAACCCTGTTTAGGGCTGCTATGGCTGGGGGTACAAGGCTTTTGCCAAAGCGAGCACTTCTGCATCTTCGGACCCTGTACCTCCGCTTAGAAGGCAATAGAGTGATATTAGCATTATGAAAGTCAACAGCATGCTTCATGGTGTAGTCCTAAAGCAACTAACTTGGATATTCCAGAGAGAGAGTCAAGATTCTTGCTCATTGTGTATCAGTCATCATTGTGTAATATGTAAATATATAATGATCATTAAAACTTCTAAATTGTTCCTGCTGGTGGGTAACATCTTTCCATAAATTGTTGTTTTTCCCTAACCCACTCTTCTTTAACTCTGACTTTTCTAGAAAGACCTCATTAGCTCTTTTGATGATGGAGACCACAAAGTCTTCTTTGAACTGTGGACAGACAATATTCCCTCAGAGGTAAAAGATACAGACCCCGAGGCCCAGAGCCTGGAGTTCTACCTTCACATCCACTTCACCATCTACCCACTGAGGAGACACCCTGGTAGACACGTACGTACATCCAAGTTTGTTTGTTTTGTTTTCTTGTTTAAATCCAACTATATCCTGCAACCCTATGGTGAATAAGCTGAATATTATTATGTGCTATTTTTCTAAATGACCACTAAGCTGTGCTGCTGACTTTTTTCTCAGTGGGCTATCTATGATGCTGGTGCACTATACAAGCAAGCATCTATAACCTCTATCATATACTTGTCACTGTTTAGGTCATTGCAGTTTGTGTTTATATATTTAAATGTAAAGTTATTTTAAAAAAAAGCAGCAGTTTCTTCAGTTTCAAGTCACGATAACAGGCTAAGAAACAGAATCATATAATTAAAAAGAATGTGTGCATGCATCAGAAGACGTGTTTTAAATAATGAAAAGGGTTTAAATGACATTTTGTTACCGACTTGAAATAAATCAGTTGGAATGTGTCTCCAGGACCGAGCTGAGTTTGAGGAGAGGATTTCCCACTTCAAGCAGTACCTGGAGACTCGAGGAGCAGCGCTGAGCCAAACCACAAAGTTTCTGCCTTATTATGCGTTGCCTTTCGTTCCCAACCCCACCGTCCATCCCTCTTTCAAAGATCTTTTCCAGGTGCTCTGCCAATTACAGAACATTACCTAGTTGATAATTAGTCATAATAGTGCATATGCAACATTTTCACCCAGTGCCACCTTCAGAATGAACATAACTGTTAATTTTCCTCCAACCTACATCATGTATATTTAGGATTCCTGGATACCGCAGTTGAAGGATAAGCTGGAGCAGTTTCTGTCAGTGACATTGAGGCCGTCCAACACCCCAAGGCTTCTGAATTTATATGTATCCTTTATCGTGACTTGCTTTCATGTCATTGCTGTCGGGAGACTTTCTCTTTCTATTTCAATGTCTTTGCTGTGTTGCAGTGATGTGATATTAGTAGCAAATAGAACCACAGCTAAATACTAAGTAGTGGAAAACAACTTTCAACTATGAAATGCTCAATTCAGCTTCTTACATCACCATTGAATTGGATATTTGGCAGTGGTATCCTACTAAATTGCCAGTAGTTAACTGTGTTCATACAGCACCTGACAGCCCTCACAGAGGTGGCTTACCAAACTGCATAACATTAAGAACAAGTTGTGTAGACTTATCAAAGGAGACCAATGTCTCTAGGAATTGGCTTTAAAATAATAGATCAGCAGTGGGGAAAAACACAACTAAATCTTGAGAGGAACAACTCAGGGATTTAACAGAGGCCAAGTACAGAGTGATTTCCATTCTGTCTTCTGGCTGAGCTACACATTTAAATCTCAAATAAAAAGCCTTTCTGTAGGTGACTACCAAATTATTCCCAGCCTTAACAGTCCGACTGTTTCCCAGACCTGGTTGTTATATATCCTGCAAATAAATCCTGTCTGATTTGCATTTATAGATGGCTACCTTTGAATATGGCAAGACCTAATCTGTAACTAACTCACCCTAACCCCTTCAGACTAGAAGGACAATTGAAGGATAACAAGTATTGTTGATCTTACTGGAAACCCAGTGGATCAACTTTCCTGTTGCACATTCATGAAACTAAACTCTATCCCTACTGGCTGATGATCAAAGCGTATATACATAGCACCTATCATCTCAGGGGCTGACCAGAGAAAATCTGTCACGTCTGAACATAATATAAAACATTAGAAAGTCGGGTTATATAACATGTATAAGCTTTCAATGTGAAAACACTGCAAACTTTTGGCAGCTGGCACAACATACTGTCACATGAAAATGTTCTTTTGGTCGAGTGCCCGCAAACGTTTTCATGACATGTAAATTAGCTCACTGCAGAAATCCGTCTGTAAGCTGACTATGCATGTGAATGCACCCAATGACAGCTGTGTTTGCCCATGCAGTGGAAATTAGTCTATCCCTCCCTTTAAAACAAACTATCATTGTTTCTATATGAACACGTATATCTCTTCGTGCAATAACGCAGATTGTCTTAAGCCTCAACAAATTTGCCTGCTTAAAACAGGATGTATAACATACTGTGTGTTTGTCCGATGTCCTGTCAAAATTAAACGTTACATCTTGACGTAGTCATTTATTGTATTTGTGTAGCTCTGGATGAAGATAGTGGCTAAAGAAACAAATACTACAGTAGTTTGATTTGTGTTCAATTGAGTCCTAGTTTGTATTCTTTAACAGGCGTCATGCAGAAGGAGGGAGGAAGGAGTACTAAAGGTAAATATCAAATGTACTTTTTGCTGACACCAATGCAGACTGCCTATACAACCTATAGGTGTGGTCATTTTTGGCTTTCATTTTACCCTCAAATCCACATTCTGGAAAGGAAAAAAAGCTTCCACCCACTGAAATCTTAAAGACCACACCTGCTTATTTATTAACAGTGGTGGACAGATAGTCCAGATAAAGATAAAAAACTCTTTCTTTGTCATAGTCAAGTAATGGTGATGATAATGGTTAATGATTAATCCCTTAAAGATAGAATCAACATCTGAAATATTGACTTGCAGACTGAAAAATATCTTTTAAAACGTTGATAAACCTCCGTCCATTTATTTAACATTTTTTAAATGAAACATTTAACATGTTATGACAAACCCTTTAACCTCACACAGAGAAGGTACCTCATGATACGATTGTTGTTTATGTGATTGCACAGAGGCCATGCAACAGCTACAGCTCCAACTGGCTGAATCCGACCGCCGCATCGCTAGCTACGTGCGAAAGTTCAACAAGATGCAGGCCGACTACCACAACCTGATTGGAATCACTGCTGAGCTGGTCGACTCATTGGAGGCCACCGTCAGCGGAAAAATGGTAGGCCGGACACACAGAAAGAGACGCACACGCAAAATGAGACTAATTATCTAATTAATGGTTTAATTAGGCTGTTACTTACATATGCAAATTCCACTGTTTTATATGCAATCACTAAAATAAAAAACCTTCTTATACACACTGTGTAATTTTAGAACAGTATTTTGTATATGCACCCTCGTGCTAGTAGGCGGCACAGTTGTTAAACAGGGACACAAAAATGGCAACCCTGCTGCTCTTAAAGCTCAAGGGGCCTACGGTGTTTTTGCAGATCTCCCCTGAGTACCTGCAGAGTGTGTGTGTTCGCCTGTTCAGCAGCCAGATGAGGCAGAGCGTGGTGCAGAGCACCGACTTCACGAGACCTGGCACTGTGAGTGAGAGCACACAGACCATTCTTCTCTCTTTCTCCTTCACACCTCACTGGTAGAAGAATAACAAAACACAAGGCCTGAAGGCAAGGTGATTTCAGTACAATGATGGAAAATGTCAAGTGGGAGGACTGTTGATAGGAGCCTCAGTCTTATACGTAAATACTAGCAGAGAAAACTGGTCTCAGGGCCTTACGTCACACATGTTGGTCAAGTTGACACTGTGTTTGAAAAGGATTTTTAAAGAGATGTTTTAGAAAGGAGGGTTTATCCATATCCTGTACTTTGTGCAGCCAACTTTAAGCCATGTAGTAATCTTGCGCTTTGTATCCTGGAAAAAGGTGACAGGATCCTGGTGTTCCATTAATACACACAGATGAGAAAGGCTTTTTTAACCTTTAACAACAGCAATTTCAAACACTGGTCACAGTGGCTCACAAAATCACTTTTGAAATGTAACTTTGATCATATTGGTTAGAATAGAAATTTTCCATATGTGTAATTGCACGCTAAAGGAGCGAGTAGCGTAGAAAGTTTCAAATAAAACCGCAAATAGCTAAAAAAGCTTATATCCTAAAAGTTATATCCTTGTTTCCATTGTTTGATATCTGTTACAGTGTGATTAAACCAAAACAAAACTGTCCAAAAACCTCACGCTTACTGTCAGTGGCCTTCATTGTGGTGTTGAAATCTGTTTCTTTCTGTTTGAACTGAACACCTTCTCTCTGTGTGTTTGTGTTTTTGCGTGTGTGATGCTTTTGTCCACAAAGGGATATTACTCTATGAGTCCCTATGATGATGGCTATGTAAGTTTCATATGTATTCATCTTTACTTCCTGTCATCGAGCAGGTTCCCACTTCTCATCTTGCTTGTGCCTCGCCGTGTCTCCTCCTCCTCTCCTTGTCTTTATGTCTGCCTCCCCCTCCTTTACTACAGATATACATTGGCCTGCCTTTGTGCTCAGTCTATATTCCCTGCCATTTTCATGTAGTTTCTACTAGATTGTCCTACCTTGAAAGGATGTTTGACCTAATTTGTTGGGAGAATGACCTCCTTTGTCAGGCCACTTGTTAAGCCAAACAAGAGCATCTCAGGGCGTACCTCATCATTAAAATCATTTGTTTTCAAAGACTGCAGGCATTGCCCCCCCTGTCACCACTCCTTATGGGATATCTGTCTTCTTTTTAAAGGTACTGTATACCCTGTCAGGCTCAGTTTTCTCCCCTTACCATTTGTTTGAACGGTACAGTTTTTGAAAGGATTGAAAGGACAGACATCGTGACACCACAATAATGGCCAGCACAAGGCCGCTTAGATGTAAAAGCACCCCTCTCAAGCTCAGGTTGTCAAACAGGCTAGATTAAATTACAGTTGTTTGAAAAGAGGCAAGCAGAAGGCTTTATGTAATTGTGATGGTTTGTAATAAAACCAGTAATGGCAGGCTCTTAAGTTAAACATATTAAATAATTGCTTCCATGGAAGGTCAGGTCAAGCCTTTAACTTTTGTAAGAGAAACAAATGAAAACAGCCAAAATCTATCAGCATTGGACTGGTGGTTAACTAATTTTCTACTCTGACTGCCAAAATATGGTGGATAATAGTAAACATACCTGGTAACCTGGATACAATATTTGTCTCATCTGTAACTAAAACCTGAGAGACCATATTTGCCCTCACAAGCAACTGTTCCACTTATTGCAACATAAATCCATAATTTACCATAATTATGTCTTTATATATATATATATATATATATATATATATATATATTTTTATATATATATATATATGTTTTTATAGACATTAACATTAACAATAGATGGCCTTCAGATGTTGTCCCCAGGGTCATAAAAGATTAAATGGTGAGATGAGATACTAAAGAGGCAGAACAGAAAAGGCATCTCTTATGTAAACTGTGCATTGTCAGAGAATTCAGGCCAAGCCTTTGCTTTGTGTAGCTGAAATCTGATAATAAATGTGGCCTTAAAATCAAAAGATTTATTAAAAATGTAAAAAAAAATACTTGATGTAGTTTTCCTTCCTGCCATTGTTGCAGATACATTCTTTTGTTGTTTGCCAACTTAGTTTTATTTGTACATTCAGCATAATGGTGTTGGATGTCAATCTCAGTCAGGCCCCCCAGAGTCTAGGCACCCCAGTGTCAAATGTCTCAGTGAAACATGTCTCCTTGCCCTTCAGCATTCTTCAGGACAATGTTTAGGGAGCCAGGAATTTGGGAAGGAATCCAAGTATCAGTGTTCTCCTCTACTTCCGTATTACCTACTACACAGCAAAACAAAAATGTGGCCAGACCACCTGATACCTCAGACGACACGCATCACTCCCCTGACCTTACGCTGCTCCTGCTATAGGCCTAACCACCCAGGCTTCAGATTGGATTTCAGGGCTCAAAATCCCCTTTCAATAGTAAAAAACACTAATAATTAGTTCTTTCACCCTTCCTCCACACAGACACAGCACTGCCAGCATATTATATTACTCTGTTCAGAAGCCTTTTCTCTAAAATAACAACACGCAGGCCTACAGAACAAGTACACTGAGGTGTAACAAATGACAGGATGGCTATTTCACACTAACCTGCCCTCTGTGGTACTTTTTAACTGCTGAATTATCTTACAGCCTACTTAACACTGACTGCATGGGCGATGTTACCAAACAGTACTTTGATGTATGTCTGGGGATTTAGCATGTACCACAAGCATGATGCATGCATGTCCAGAAAAACACTAATAACTTATTTAGACAGTGTCTAACCAGATAGTAAGGATGATAACAGATGCACAGTCGCATGGGTAATGTTTTCCACACATTAAGAGTTGTGATAAATATAATGAGTAATAAATAAGTAAATTCTAAAATACATTTGCTCCTCTTTGTCTTTTCTCAATTTTGCCCCCCGTGGCAGGCATCGTCGATGCTACGAGCATCCATCGCACCGCAGTAAGTCTTACATTTGAAGAGGTTTTCAGTCTGCACAGTTTGATATGTGCCATGATAAAACATGGCTGACACGTATTCTTTATTCATCTCAAGAAGATCTAAGGAGGTGCCAATGCTACCCTCACTGGATTATGAAAAGCTGAAGAAAGACCTGTTTGAAGGCCCAGATAGACTCAGATCCCTGCTGCTTCAGGCGCTACGCTGGGTGAGTATTTATATTCTTATTTACAGTATATTAATGATCTCCTATTCCTCTTATGCCATGTCATATCTTGCATGTTTTGATAGTTTCATGATTGTCACTATTATACTTATTTACTAACATGTATGACCACTGCTACTCCTTGTTTGTCTACTCCCTTAAGGCTGTAATCCACACTTTTTTGTGCCTTAATCCTTGAATGTTTGCTTTAGGTTACTTTGTTCTTTCTTACTGTTTTGCTGAAAGTACCCAACTTCCATTCAGGGCAAAGTTTAGTCTTACATTTGTAGCATAAATCTTCTGAAGTTAGCATGATAGGGAAATGGCATCACAATTGTGGAAATGCTAAGCAATTCCTAACCTCTAGTGAAGCGTTTGTGGATTATCCCTGGTCACCCATTAGGACTTTACACTTGGCTGTAATATTATCCATGATTAGCATTTTACAGAAAGGCTAATGTGATATACTGTACAGCAAAGTGATAGCAAATTTACCCTTTCCCTGTTTTGCCTAATTTTTTCATTCTAGCAAATTTAGCAAATGTTTTCTGTCCTAGCAAACAGTATACGTTGTTCACACAAAGCTATTGCAGCCGAGAGTATCTATAGTATTCTACTGAGCAGCTGTATTAAATAAAAAACAGAGGTTTTACTGCGAGGCAGCTTTTAAGGAGCTGAGCACCATTCATAATCACTTTGCATGTGTACTGTTTTGAGTCTTCACTGGTGGGTCTCTTTCTCACGTTTTTTTAGAGACTGACTCGTTCACTCCCTGGTGAACAGAGAGACACTGTGCTTCAGGCGTATATCAGTAACGATCTGCTGGAGCGCTACAGCACTAAACAGGTGGGACCATAGCACTACAACTTTTAATGTATTTTAACACTGTAAAGCAATTACTATGGAAGATTTCTGCTAAAATGTCTACTGATGTGAACTGAAATGACACAGATATTTTTCCAACCTATATTTTATGCAATCACCAGCGCAAAAGTAAAAAATAACTTCTTGTTCATTTGCCTCACTGCCTAATTAATCCCCAGGCTCTAATTTCAGGGCAGGCCTGAGCTGGTGAACTGGCACCTTTGCTGGGTGCACACAGGTTTGATTCTCACCTGCCATTGCCTTAATGCTGCAAAGTGGGTGAAGATCATAGACTGTAGACAAACTGGACATACCGTTTCAGATGTCACCCTTATGCTTCTGGGATATGTTGTCTGTTTTAACATTTGCATACCATATAGATGGCAAGGAGAAGCTCTTTCTGTTGATTCAAACTAAATCTGTCAAAAACAATCTGTCAGAAACAATGTTATCAACTACAGATACAGTATTTATTTACAGTTATTAGAGGTGAGCACTGAAATAATCATCATATTGCTTTGACATCAGTTTCCCACCATTTAAAAATATTTTGGGTGTTAACAATGTCTTGACTGATACTTAGTCATAGTTAGAATAACTCTTACCTACAGTGACCTTCTTAATCACTGTCTTGACATTTAATCTAATTTTACGCCTGACACCTATTGACCCACAATATTATAAATATGTAATTCTATTCATTTTAAACTAGCTGGAGACTTATTGTTGTTGTCTTATGTTGTTCTTATGACAAGGAAACGATTACATTCCAAATTTAACCTTCTCAAAGGGCTTTCTGAAGCCGCATGTCTTTCTTACATGCTTTATTTATTTATTTTTCTTTTCTTCTTTTCACAGCCCCTTCACCTAGCCTTTAGCCGTTGGGTTCCATGTTAAAAATAATCCCTTTATAGAGGTGTAAATGATCCTCACCTCACACCTGAGCTCTTTGTCTTTGTACTTACCACGGTGCTCAACCTCCGAATGACACCATGTACTATTGAGAGACATAATAATAGTGGAAGGGTGTCAATTTCTCGTAATCAAATCACAAAAATAAATGTTCTGTGTTTGACAATGGTAAAAAGCATAAATTGCCCTACCATAGGGAACGAACATTTGCAGCAAGTTTTCCCAGTGCGCTGGTCAGCTTGTGGCCTGACTGCGGTTCTTAAAATACTAATGCTATGATCAGGCCAGTTCCATAAAGTGCTCTTAAGAGCTCATCTTTGTCCCCTTGTCAGCACATTCTGCCTTTCACACACACTTTTACTGGAAGCAATTCTGAAACCGCAAAAAACAATACTGAAGAGATTCACTGATAGTGATTCGAAATCAGAAAGCTACAAGATTTCATTAACAAGTGTTAGACCACAGGTATTAAATGAGTTAGTACAGGAACAAGAAAACTGGATTCACCAAAGTATAGACGAGCTATGGAGCATTAATGATTTCTAACTAACCTACATTTTATGTTTTCATAGAAAACCGTGCTTGATTTATTGAGATCGAAGAACGAGATTGTCCGCCAGTACATGGCTCGTCTCATCAATGCATTCGCTTCCCTTGCAGAGGGTAAGTGCTCAACTGGCATTACATTCGGTTAAGCATCATTATTTTTTTGTATCATGAGTCATTGTCAGACTGGATGCATTTGGAGACATAGATTCATGGTAGGCCTTTTATCATAACTTTCCATTCAGGTTTGAAACCGCTAATGATCCTTCACAGCAGCATGCCATTAACTGTGGTGGACATTCTGTAAAGACAAATAAAATTTCTATCATGTAGTCGTAAGTAGTTGTGGTAAGACTATTTTGAGTAGTAATTAGAGTTATTAGTTAACATTCATTCTCAACAACAAGGAATTGTTTACGGTAAGTGTGATTGGACTTGAATTTGAAAAGATTTGAGCAACATAAATACTGAGAAAACATGTAATGTGACACTAGTAAATTGTGAACTTAGAACTAAATTTCTTCTCAGTAACAGGCAGGGGTTGAGATGTTTTTTCCGTCCAGTCAGCTTTGCTTTTGTTAAGGAGATCATTCTGTTGTACTGTATTGTCCTCGCTTGTGTTCACAGTTGTACCTCAAAATCAATTGGCAAATTTATGGCTTTTCTTTTTTAAAGCCACTCCTTGTAACTTAGACAAAACTGGTGTGTTTTTATAGGAACGGACGTTGCCCAGTGAAGCTTTAAAATGTCAGGAAGAGGCTTATTTCTAATTCATGTTCTGTGAATGCTTACAGGTCGGGTTTATCTCTCCCAAATCCCCATTCTTCTGAAACTTCTGACAGAGGCACTCAGGAAGGAGGAAAATGACTCCCTCACTAGAGAGAATGTGCTAGTGGCCCTGCAGAAACTCAGCCTCAGGTAAATTTAAAAACACCCACTGTTTTTATAAATCCTTGCTTTTTCAGTTTCAATCACATGCAGTCAACTTGTAGATGGTCTACAATCGCAACAAACCCACATTAACATGGACAGGGAACCTAAAGAACAGACTGCACAGCTGAGGAACACAAATATTTAAGTTCAAGTTCCTTTTAATCCACTATTTACCTTTACCTGGTAGGAGAAGCCAGCAGACTGCCATGATAGCAGATGATCTGATTGGCTGGCTGGTGGATGAGCTTCAGGATTCAGACTGCCTGGGTGACTACGCCCTGGAGTACTCTGCAGCTCTGCTCATGAACCTGTGTCTGCGAACAAAAGGTAAAGGCGAGGCCTAGGTGGATACCGTGTAGATACGGTTGAATAATTGTAGAATAACTGTTTGAGATATGGTTGAACACTTTACTTATACATTTAAATACTACACAGGATATCAGCTTTGTGAGTGAGGGACTGTCCCTTTTTAAAATGACATATAATTAGTTTTCATTAAAAATATACAATTACAACAAGGAATAGACTTCTGCATGCTTCTGTGTATTAAAGTAATTCTATAAGAAATTTGAAAACAATCTCAAGGCTTCAGTATATCATCCTTTTCCCCCCCAAATGTTTTTGACCCTAATGAAGACAATAAGCTGAAAACATTTCAGAATAAAGCCTAGTGTACTGGAGGGGAGTTGTGCAGCTTGTTTAATTTTCACTTACACACATTTAAGCCAAAAACCACAGTCGTAGTCCACTATACCGCTCTGTATATCTAGCTGGCACTGCAATAGTATATCGTAGGTTTGTTGAAGAAGCCAAGAAAAAGCCGCATATCGTCTGTGTCTAACTATGACCCTGTTGAATGATTGTATTATCAGCAGAGTACATGTCTTTGTTTGTATTTGCATTGCGTATAAAATATTAGCTTTTACAGCTTCTTCTGAACAGAGTACTTATCGATGCACTCCCCTTTTTACTTATTTACTCTTACATCATACCTTGATTGTATCTTTGTTCATGCCAACAACCACCCAAGCCCTAACCCTTTTACTGTACACAGACGAGCTAAGATACTCTTTTTTTTTTTCTTTCTCAGAACTTCCTTAATTTTTGTCTCAGCTGCCCAGGGCCTGTTTTTCATAGAATGCCAAAGTGAAATACTGCACTGTGTTTGATTGATTTGTCAGTGGTTTTATTATCTTACACGTGGAGAAAGATAATACACAAAGAAAATGCTGAAGGGAATCAGATCCCATTGCAGGTAGTTAAATTGAAGCACGTGCGTATGTTTGTGTGTGTTGGATGGCTGTCTTTGTACAGGAAAAAGGAAGTGCGCAGAGAACGCCAAGCATGTGCTAAAGGTTCTAACTGACCTCCTTGGACATGAGAACCATGAGGTGATCATCCGTCAACACTTTCACACAGATGTTACATGTGCAATGCATTTAATGCCCACACAGAACACATTCATTGAGGCTGAAGAAAATGGGCGCAGCATATTTTACTCATTAACACATGCAGTATTGGGGCTTGCTCAGAAAACAACAAAGAGAACAAAAGAACTGAGAGTTGGCAACATTCGGCAGAGCAAAACTGAAACTCTAAACACCAAAGTGGACAACACTTCATTATTTAAGAGTAAATGTAACACAAATGCCAATACCCAAGCAGACATATCCAGGCTTGCCATAAAGTTATGTTTATGATGCCCTCCAGAATGTTTGGATGTTTTGATAGAAATGAGCTATGACTATGACTCTATAAAACATAAATAACACTAGCTCCATTCCATTTTATGAAAGGTTGTCAGGAACTTTGGAAAGCCATATAGAAATATACTGGTATTTGGATCCACTACATAAGCATTCTTTTTTCCTCCTTGTATCCATGATTCCTTGCTGCTGCATGCTCATACAAGTTGTTACCATTTGGCCTGAGATCAGAAAGTGTGTGTGTGTGTGTGTGTGTGTGTGTGTGTGTGTGTGTGTGTGTGTGTGTGTGTGTGTGTGTGTGTGTGTGTGTGTGTGTCTGTGTGTGTGTGTGTGTGTCTGTGTGTGTGTCTGTGTGTGTCACTTTGCTTTCCTCAGATTCGACCGTATGTGAATGGAGCCCTGTACAGTATCCTGTGTATTCCCTCTGTGAGACAGGAAGCCAAAGAGATGGTGAGATAGCTGAAATGTCTTGCTTGGAGGAAACTTAGTTTGTGTGTTTGCTCTGAATTTGTCTCTTTATGTCATCACGCATCCGGTGTTTGGAGGGGAGACAACAGGTGTTTACAGTCATATGACACAGTCACTGTACCCTGAGACTGGTGAGATGGTGGGATGTGTCAGTGCTTCATATTGACTCAAACACAAGTTGGAAGAGTAATTTTTCTTCATGCAACGACATTTGGAGTATGGATGGGGCTGGGTCTATCCTCTCCAACAAATATCATATATAAGCAGACGCCTCAGATATCTGTTATCATTACAGGCAGTTTTTCCTTGCCCTTGTCACCAAGTGCTTGCTCATGGTGGTACAGTTGGGTCTCTGTAAATAATGTTATAAAGAGTTCGGTCTAGACCTGCTCTATTTGAAAAGTGTCCTGAGATAACTTCTGTTATGAATTGGCGCTATACAAATAAAAATTGAATTGAATTGAATTACACAATTACACAGTTACACAATTACAATACTTTATAATCAACTTACTTGCATGGCTTAAAGTAGTTTAAAGTTGTTAGTATTTGTGACTTTAGCCAATTGTTATTACAGTTTATAGTTTGAACACTGAGTCACTGGTTTTGATTCTGAAGCTAACTTTCAGCTGTAAAGTTATGTGCTTACATGCATGTTACATGTGTTTCCCTCACGTGTGTAGAGTGTAGAGGAGATTCTCCGCTGCTACAGCAAGGAGGAGAACCCAGACCTCAACAGACAAATTGAGTTCATCATTAAACAGCTTAACTCAGGTTTGTTTTTGTATTTTATTATTTAAACTATATGTGCCTTTGGAATTATATTCCAAAGTGGAGCAGTAAGTGACATATACTGCTGCTGTTTAGTTTTTTTGACACTGCACTGACTTGTTTAATCCTTGTGCTCCACCCAGCTGAAGAAGAGGGGCCAGAGTCAGACGATGAAGAAGAGGAGGACGACAATGATGTAAGTCCTCCCCTCAGCACATTCGACATTGATAAGTTCATTCTTTACCCCATCTTAATATATACCCATCTACACATTATTCCAACACAGCTATAGGAATATATATTAACAAAAACAGATCAGAACTACAAAGGGGAGCACCTCATATTTGACACCTTTCCCAAACCCGTAGATAGCAATCTCAGCATGACACAGATATTGGGTGTCTCCCACCTGTGTGTTTGTGCATATGTATATGTGTATAGGGAGGGTGATGGGCCTGGCAGATTGGATTCTGTGGGAAACTGGGTTATCAAGATAAGGTATATGGTAGTATTTAAAGTGCCTGGAGTCTCCAAGGTGTGTGTATGTGTATAGTATGTGTGTCCCCGTATTCCCCTCGTGGTCACATAAGAATTCCTTGAGTGTGAGTGCCCTTATTCCATTGCCTCTGATCTCAGATGTGGTGTTTTTGTAGCTGCTATCCATTTACCATTGCTATAAGGGTGAACTGATATATGTAGACCAGTGTGGACTACACTGGTCTCTTGTTGGCACCGTGTTACTTGGTGCCAAGCATTGTGTTAGTATTTAACCTAGTTTGGAGACTCACAACGAGTTCATTTTAAATATAGATGAATAAATTAGGCAGCACAAAACTAACCATAGTCATAGCTATCAACACTCATAGGATTTTATATAATGGTGTTTAATGGTGGAAGGAAGAGGTTGATTTGTGTTGATTTTATTATTTGATTTCATGCTGTCATCAAATGCAGACTATTATTCTGTATTACTGTCACTGCATACTCAGGTAGTCTTTTGTGACCATTATGTTCCGCATGTTTGTGAAACACACAACTGCAAAGTGTGTAATTCTGATTTACTATCTTTGTCTTGTGACAGGAAGATTTAATGGAGACAGACCTTGATACAGAGGAAGTTCTCCAACCACAGCCCAGGGAACTGTCTGGGGAAAGTCTGCTCACCACTGAGTACCTGGGAGTAAGGGCAAAACACACACTCACAACACTCCTCACTATGAACAAGATAAATAAACATGTTGTTGTTTGCTTAACAGACATAAACTACTTTCAAAAAGGCTGTTTCTTAATAAGTTCTGTCAGTCTGCGGCTGAGCCAGCTGCACACAGTTCCAGCTAGTTCAAGATACAGCCGCTAAAGGTAATGATACCTGCAACAAGGGGAACTGATATTGTTTGTAGTCGTGTGTTGCACGCGAAAGAGACACTAGACACGCCTCAGGAATTGTAAGATTTTATATAATTGTACTGCCAATGCTAGATGACTACAGAGGTCACAGCATGTATCTGTGACATGCAAGTGGTCATGTCCAAAAAGCTCACAAGAAGGGGTTCCCTTTAAAGGAGGCTGTTCCAATAATTAGTGTCTAAAAGTTCATATCTGAAAACAGAAACAGGAAATCTGGAATCTTTTTAAGTTGATATCCCCAGCATGCTGAATTTACTCTAAATTTAGTGACTGATTCCGTGGGCTCACAGAACTTCTGTTTAACTTTGGTTTGAAAGTGAACAGTGATCTTGAGATTGGTCGTGTACCCTTCACACTGACAGACAAGACATGGAAAGCTTGGAGTAAGAGTGACGCATACTAGTCTCATAAACTAATGTATAAAAAATTCTCTTGATTGTCTAGATTATGACCAACATGGCAAAAGTGAAGAGGAAGTCAACCCCTCTGCCTCAACCAAGTGTCGATGAACCCTTACAACGGCCAGTCACACCAAGTTCTCATCGTAATGTCAACGCACCGTAAGTTTAACACACACACAGACAGTCCAAACTGACATGCTAATTCAGGTGTCTGAGTGACAGGAAGTATGCAGGATAACGTTTAGTTTCATGTTCAAGGGTACTTTAGTTATACATTGTACATTAGATGTGTAAACTACCCATGAATACTGTATTTAGATACATCTGACACCTGACGCCTAGCGCCTTTTCCCTCAAGGTGGACCAGTTTACAAAAGCACAGACAGCTTGTAGCCTGACCCATAGGTCACTTTGACAATGATCGTGCTGCCCCCTTTGTTCACAAGTCTCTCCAGCCATTAAAAGTAGTTTAGTGGGTCAAAGAAAGAATGGTTTCAGATACATTATGCTATTTACCATCACAATACCGACTGAAATGCTTGTGAAGGAGGACTCTGGAACCGCTTAGCACTGAGAGGCAGATTATTGTCAATGAAAACTGTAAACTAGTCTGGAAGAATACAAGAAAGAGTAACGACAGTTATGAGGGATTGGTATCATACACACCTGTTCCCAGAGAAAAGGGAGCATCAACTCACAGCTAGTAATTCATACACCGGTTTTATAACTTCCTAACTAGAAGATAAAGGTTTTATGCCATGCTATAAAAATAGAATACTACCAACATGAACATCTTGATGTTAGTTCTTACGAAACCTGAACTGTATTATTTGCGTTTGTGTCATTTGTAGGGATTATCGATCCGGCAGTCAGGGGGGGGAGGGTAGCAGGGACAGAGAATATCCTCTGAGCAGACAGAAGAGCGAGGAAGGGAGCCTGCCTCCTTCACGACACAACTCCCGACCTCCTACACGCTCCGGCAGTTGCCCCAGTACTGCTGACTCCCTACGTCACAGCATCGGTGGGTGGATGTCATTTACCAATAAATGCATATATACATTTGATAGCAGTAAAATAGAAACCATGTCAAACTGCTGTGGCTGTTTATCAGATGTTTGCAGTCGGATTACTCATGCTTAATACATTTTTTGTGGACTGAAAATCAGCTCCATATTTGTGGGACAATTTAATTTCCCTTCCACCTGCTGCTCATTATTTGGTTTATATTGGATTCATTTGATGTGATGCCCAGTGTCCACTAGGCAAGGAAGCTCATGCAACTTCCTCAGAAAGCATAACGACTCAGCAAAATGGGCACCAAATGGCTAATGACCCATTTTGGCATTCTATATAACTAATGTCTGCGTGGCATCAGGATGTGTTCAGTGGCGCCTGTAAATGTGTAACTGTTTTTATTCTTAGTGTTGTGTTGACTTTAGTTTAAATTTGAAACTTTGATACTTCCAAAAGTAGTGTGATGAAGCCGTAACTTGTCCTCCTTCTCTATCAAACATAAACACACACACACACGCACACACTCAGATTCAGAGTGTGGCCGGTTGTCCCAGGAGTCAGAGTTGGACAGGCCATATGAAGGGGGAGCCAGAAAAGCACAGTCCCAGGAGGAACACAATGGACAGTCTGCCAGGTAAACTGACACAAGTGTTAACTGTACACACACACACACAGGCAGTTTAAAGGCTAAAACAGAGAGAGTTTCTTAATGAGCTCAGCAAGTTTCCAAAAACTTGATTCTAATGATTTAGACTGATTTGAGAGCCCACACACAAGGACAAATAGGCATCTCTGGAACTAACAAGACTAACACGGACATGCATTCAGAAATATATATCCCCATGGTATTCATATGGTTTTTCAACACATGTTGAACAATAGTCCTTATTATATACAGAACGTAGTACATCATAGTGGTTTGTCCTCTAGAGCAGCTCACCACGGCTAGACTGTTCCTCCAAGTATCATTATCTGATGATATCATCAGTATCTGTCAATAATCTGCCAGAGCAAATGAAACATCATCAGCTCGGATGATTCATGGATTCAAGCTCAAATTAAGGGCCAGGTAGTGGCATGTGAAGATTTCTGTATACATATATATATATATACTGTATATATATATACTGTATATATATATATACTTTACTGTAAAAAAGCCACATCCTAGTCCATTATCAGACAGCTAGAGGAAGAGCTCGATGCTGTTTGTGAGAGTGGCTCATTTGATTGCTGTGTGTTCTGCTTTGCCACAGTCGTGACAGTCTTTGCCATCATTTCCAACATCTATGAGATCTTCAAATTAAATATCATTCCATGTTTCAAGTTCATTGCCATATGCATAGTAGTACAATTTAGTTCAATTAAAAGTTTGTACTCCCCCAATGGTAACATGAAATATACAATATAAAATAAATTTATGGAAGTACTTCAGCAGTAGCAGCAGGCTTCAACAGGCATTACAAATTGTCACTATTGAGGAGGAAAGAAGGCCTGTCTTGACCGCAGGCTGGTTCAGTTGCTGAAAGAATTTGGATGATAAGTTCTGGTACAGTGGTCATATATACAGAACCTCCTGAAAGGGGCCTGTTGTAATTGCAAACTTTCAGTTCACTGCTCAGCAGAAGTGAGTAGGCAAGCCTATTTATGGTTAGAGGGTGAGCCCTGTGTGATATCAATCCGAGCCATTCCTATTCAACACCATATTTGTCCTCTCTGTCTGCTACAAACTGGCTGTCATTCTCTCAGAACCACTGAATTCAGTCAAGGTGAGCTGCGGGTTGCAAAAATAACAAGAGATGGATAACACATGAAGAATACAACTATATGTGTGTGTGTGTGTGTGTGTGTGTGTATATACTACATACGTGTGTGTATATATATATATATATATATATATATATATATATATATATATACATACATTCTAAAGAAGCACAAAAAAGGAGTTTGAACACAACAATAAAATTGCAGCGTGTCAATGATGAGACTTAAGGTTAAAGGTGCATATAGTTAGATGTTTGGTATCAGCTACCTATCATAAAAGGGACCCGAGGGGGAATAGGGAATAATGCTAATAAAAACAAACAGTGTAAGTCAGCTGAGGTAAAACTCTGAGTTGTGTGTCAGTGTTTTTGTGCGTCTGTGGAGAGAGTTGGCAAGAGTGTTCATCTACACCAATCGGTGACTCAGCACTGCCAAGCTGGTCTGTGAGACTGTGACATGCGTTTAAACGAGCAGTGCTCACAAAGAGACCCATTCAATCAAACCTCCCCTGCTTCTCCTCTCCTTTAAATCCCAGAGGAACTTGACTCCTGAATCCCGCCAAGAGTAATGAGTCCCAGGAAAACGCTTCAGTTATCCCTTCTCTCAGGAACGTACAATGCCTCTACAATACTGACTTCAGTGGCCTCATTTCACACCAGTTCAGATACCAGACCAAACCATCGTGAGAGGATATTTCAGGACTCCGTCCTTGATAGGTGAAAAGAATCTTAGCAACACTGCAATTTAGAAAATATCAAATGAGAAGATATATATTTTTGACGTTTGTTTTCAGGTCAATGGACCCGCTTTATTATTATTATTTATTTATTAATTTTTTTAACAAAACTTAAACTCATTTATTTACACATGGTGATACTCAGATGTCAAAGTTAAAGGCCCAGTGTGTAACATTAAGGAGGATCTACTGGTAGAAATAATGATAATAATATTCATAGGTATAGCATGCATTAGTGTATAATGACCTAAAGATAAGAATAATTGTGTTTTCGTAACCTTAGAATTCTTTTATCTACAGAAGGAGCGGGTCCTCCTCTAAGGAGTCCGCCATGTTGAACTGCCACCAAATGCTACACAGCATTTAGCGCATCTGGTACACACTGAGCTCTTGATACCCTTGCTGATTTTGTGGGTAGGATTTTAGGGGCTAATGGCCATTCATGTAGCATGTATGCAAATTTTGGTTTGCTGCACCACAGAGCATGCAAGTTTATAGAGCCTTTTAGAGGTCGCTCCTCAGTTGTTTTCAGAGCATGACGGCTACTGTTTGTAATATTCAGTTATACCAGATGTTATCAGGGATATTGGAGCCAATGTTACTGCTACACACAGAGACATAAATACAAATTGTCTTCTTTGTGGTTTCTACGACACAATAGGGCCAATGTAAGCCAATGTAAATTAGCTGCAACATATTTTGTAATTTGCATAAAAGGATGCAACCATAAAATGTAAATTAGACTAGTATTACATTACTGTGAATACAATTTACTTATAAATATATCCAGTGAAAAGTTTTATTTATTTATTTATTTAGTTTATCGTATTAGCTTTATGCATTATGTCACAGTATGACGGTTACTAATGAAGCGTTAACATTCTTTATTCATAGTCATATAGTCACAACAAAAAAACTGTTATTTTTTTTTTCAAAGGAAAAAGAATGTCGTCAGCATGGGTAGGTTGAACAGGAAGTAAAAGCATACAGGTAAGATAATGATCAACTAACAGCAATTCAAGCAGCAGGCAGGGAAAATACAATATCTGATCCTATCTGAAAAAAAACCAAAAAACAAGTTAACAGCTGGTGCACCTCATTAAATAGCATACACAGTGAATCTCTCAGAAACACTGGACCAGGCCCACCCACAGAAATGTCAAGGCCCTCCCCAAATCTGCTTTACTCATAGTGACTAGTGTTCGGCTCCCTCCTCTGTGATAGGATTATTGATGGCCCCCATGAGCCCCCCTAGCGGCTTGGCCCCAGAAGGCTTTCCCCTTTTCCCCCACATATCGGTGGCCTTCACGGAACTCTGGAAACATGCCTATGATGCCCTCAAAACTAAAAACTGCCTCTCATTTTAAAAATCTTGTGTATGATGTTAGATGTGTTTTATAGTATCAAAAGAAATAAAATAAAAAAACTAGAAATCAAAAAAAACATAATACAGACTTGCTATACAGTCAGTCAGCTCCTTTAGAGTCTATATGGTATGGATGACCCCACGATAGCTGTCCCTACTGGGTATCTTGGAAGTATCGATAAAAAAATCTGGCACAGAAGAAACTGAAACGAAGTGAAATGGATGCTATCGAGTGTCAAGGGCAAGAGGCTTGTGCAAGGTTGATGTTGTACCCAAGACAGCCGTGATTTCTGTGAAACCTTCTATGAAATGAGATCTGTTCATGACTGTAGTGTCTCACGGCTACTGAGCAGCAAAATGACGACCTCTGAATGATCCTTCTAACCGTGAGCAAGTGAGAAATGAGAGTAGCAGTGATAAAAAAGAAAATGGAAAATATTCAATAAAGGGCACTTTTCGTTTTGTCTGAGAATGTCTGCTTGGTCAATGTAGCCTTGTCATATTTTGTCTTACATTTTCTATTTTTTGAGATTTTTCATAAGCCAGTGCTGTTTGATTGTATGGTTTTCACCATTTCTTATTATTATGATTGGTGGTGGTGATTTTTGTCTATTATAATGTATTACCACTGAAAGCAAAAGCATACTTGTATTCATTTGTCTCCTTCCTCTTCTATTCCTTGTCATCAGCGGTGATTACATCCCTGCATTTGCAAGCCAGCCCAAGATTCCCCGTACACCTGACACAGCAGCCAGCCAGAACAGTGCTCACCGGGGTCGAGGCCCGACTTTGGCACCCCAGTTTTCCCATTCGGAGCCACAGCAGAGCAGCCGGCCAGGCTCTGCCAGCTCCGCAGGAGGAGGGGGACGACAAAGTGGAGGTAAGCACATGGCCACTATCCAATTTTGTTACTTTGTCTACTTTTCCAGCCATTTGGAAGATAACCACAAAGGCATTGGCTAATTGGACACTAAATACCTTACAAATCAACGTACTTTGTCTCGTTGATGCAAGTTAGAGTCCTCTAAAATCAATATAACCATGAAGTAGTCATGCTGATAGATTTGTTGCATTGACTGCAATTACCTTTTAAAATACAATTGAAAGGATAGCTAACTCAGTAGAAATGGTACAGTAAAAAACCTGCATCATCAAATCACCCAACTTCACTCGCAGTTGGTGGGTAGGTGTAACTGCAGGACTGTGGATGTTATCTGCCTGTACAACTGTTCTGTGTTCAGAGCAAACAGTGTTTGCCAGCTACTGCATCATAAATCTGCCATTGTATTGTGTCGTAGCTGTTTGTCTAGGCCATTTTCCCTCTCTATCTCTGTTTTATATCAGCCAAATATCATCATTTTCCTGCTCCTTACAAACAGGTCTTACCAGAACTGTCCACTCTAGTTTGTCTGAAAACAAAAGCAGACTCACAATAACGTGCAACGAGACAAAAGTGGAATTTATGGTAAGATGATGAATCATGCTCCAGTTTCCTTTAAGCTCAGATCTTGAGTTACACATTGGGTTTTTAGCAGTTTTGGAACTGGAATTGTGCAACAAAATCTTTCTAAAACTTTTTTTTCTGTAGTTCCCAATAGTGACACTCAATTATCAGTTAACAAAAACAAGACTAGAAACTTAAGACGTGTTTATTCCACAATTTTCTTTATTCACTCACTGATGCCTTAGCCACAGTTGCCGTAAGTTTGACCAGGCTGGTCCCTTCAGATGGAACAGTGGACAAGTGTGTTGGGCAAGCAGGTGTCCTAAAATACATGAATGGTTTTTAGGCCACCTGACTATGTTTTTGGATCTCGTTTAAACTAAGAAAACCAAAGAAAAGATTTTTGATGGTAATGTTTGTCTGAACTTGTATAGCAAACTTAGAAAATTACAGTATGAAAATTACTCTACTGTTGGCAGTACATACATTATATGGCTGTTAGAACAAATAAAAGAAGGACAGATTTTTTAGTAGTATTAGTATTTTTTAGTTCAAGACGCAATTTCTTCAAACACCAGTGACATAGCCCCTCCCTACCACAGCTACATATTTATTTGCTGCCAACTTCACATGTTAAACAGAGAACTTGAGTCACTGCAGGGGAGATGGCTTGATCAGTTGCTCTGGTGCTCTTAGTTGTGTGATAACATCTCTCCATGCTCTGATTCATCTTAATTGCATTTGATGGGCGATTACGTCCGGCTCTTTCGCCGGCTGCCCCTACCATAAAGCCTGTAATAGGGTTTAATGATTAGTCGAAGCCACCACATCCTCCTGTATGTGTGTGTTGTACGTTTGAGGTCTGGCAAGTGTCAGACATTTATGCACTCATGAGGAAGTCACTTAATCCTATCTCCGTTTAAAGGGCAATAAGCAGGCTCGCATGACGCGGCAAATAAACTAAGTAAACTTTTACTGTAACAATCTTTAGATTTTACTGGTTTGTTTACTGCTAGCTCTTAATTGTTTTTGTTTTTCTTGAGCTACTTTTCAATTTATGTTTCCTTGAATTCAGCTTCTGCTTACTGTCGAGCATTATTATGGCCAATATTTGCTGCTTGGTGGAGTCTGGCGGCAAGAAAGGAACCCCAACCACACGCTGAGACAGGATCCCCTTTAGGCCCACTTTTGGTAAACACTTCCGTTGTGACTGACAGAGACTCTCCTCTTAGAGGAGCTGTTTTTGTAGCTGACCACCCACTCAGCCAGCACAAACAAGGAGAGGAGCTGCTGCCGCCTCGCCGCGTTGAGAAGATGGGGAAAAAATTGTATTATACTAACCAAGTCAGTGTCGACAAGGCTGACTTTATGTGATGAGAGATCCCTGTTATGTTGCCATGCAGCTAGACAAAGTGGAGAGAATGCAGTAGTGTCACTCTGGACCTGAATGAAAAATGTGATGAGAAAATATGTTTGTTTTTTTCTCACAAATAAGAAGGAAATGGTATAACAGAACCAAAATCATTACCTTTTCAGAATGAGGTGCTTGGATTTTATATCACTGACCACACATTGCCAGCATGTCTCAGCCAAAGTCAATTTGGAGACAAATTGTGTCCAGCAGCAGTCAAACAATTCAGCATATTCATAGATTCAAGGTTGTTTTTTTTTAGGAATATGAAGATTTTTATATGTGATAAATATGTGATAATATGTTATTTATTTTATTTTTTTTTGTACTTAAATACGTCAGGAGGACATCTTAAATATTTCTCCTTTTATTTATAACTTAAAAGCTGACTGTCCTTTTCCTTCTCTTCTTTTCCCCTTTATCACCCCACATCCCTTCCTCTTCTCTCTCCTCCTTCAGGCAGCCAGTCAAAGAGGAGGTGAAGAGGGGGCTGTCACCATGGAGTAGCACTATCTCCCCGGGTGCATCAGGCTTCCTGTAACTTCATCCCCCCAGGTTGTGATCGGGGTCAGGGCAACAGAGATGGTCGAGGATCAGCGGCAGGAGGAGGAGGAGGAGGGGCTTGAACAATGTGGAGGATTGTGGCTCTGCATTTCCCCCCCCCCCCTCTTCTGCTTCAGCACAGACTTCTTCTGTAACCTGATATGAGGTCAGATGATAATCACAACCCCCCAGGTGATAGTTTTAGGCACACCTAAATTTGTGCGACATCCTCCAACCATGACAAAATTCTTGCGTAAGGAGATGCAGAGAGTATAGCTCTGAGTTGGGGCAGTACACTGGGGCAGAAAATATTTGAGCACCTTTCTATATCTGCTTACTGGCCTTCTGACATAAGCACATTCCTTTCCATTTTCTTCACATCAGCAGGGATAAACAGAGTCCCAGAGATGGAGATGATCTTTTTCTTGATGAATCCTCAATATCTGCGCTTAAGTCTGAATACAAGCGGAAGTGTTCAGACTTGAGCACAGTATTGTTTTAGCTGGTAACTCCATGTAAACTCTGGATTACTGGTTAAGGAAACCTGACATGACTAGGCATAGAGATAAAATGTTCAATAACCTTTCTGTAATTACCACACATTTGATTCATTTAAAAATTAAGTAAGGTAAGGACCTTTTATTGTACAGATATAAAAAAAAAAAAAAAAAAAAGAGTTATACAAAAGCTCTTATGCAAAGTTCTCATCCTGATTCTACAAATCTATAACCTTCTGAATTTCAGTACATACTGTATATATTGATTTTTGACTTGGGTGAAAATATCCGTCCACATAAATAAATAATTGCACCAGCTTTACTTCGAATATAAAACATTATCTCATATGTGAGGAGCTGCTCATTTTTATCTTATGCTCCATGAAATGTTTACAAGAAAGACACACGGTTTGACATGAACTGTCAGGCTAGCACACAAAAAATATTCCTTATTACTGTTATATACAATACCATCCGTACGACTTGAATTTGTGTGAACGTCTTAAATTCATTGCATTGTACATTTGCACTGTTTCTCCTGTGTTGTGATGTACAGTATATTTATGTGAACTGCTACAGTTTTGTTGAAATGGAGTTTGATAGTAATTGATTTTGATACTTTTTAAGTGGTTTTAAATAAATGTGTCACATGTCACCTGTTTTCTGATCTTATTATTGTTTTTACATTTATATTCTTTGCCCCATTGTTGAAGGATCCTTAGCTGGCCCAATTGGCTCAGTCTTCAGAATCATAAGTCATTTCCCCTTACATAATTACTGCCAGCGAGTAGTTGGCATATTGTGCCCACACAATGTTGTGTGCTCGCCTCTGTGCTGCACTGCGGAAAGAAAAAACTCTTTGTGTTCAACTCATCAAGATGTCACACAGCAGGAGGATTTCTGCTCCCGTATCGTGTTGTAAACTGAAAGCTATGTCACACTCGCCAACTCACCGGACAGCTGCACCCGTACAGAAGTCCTGGGGACATGCTGAAGTCTTCATTATAGTCCCCATAAATAATTATCATGTTCTTAGGACTGCTGTGGTAGAAGGGGCAAAGCTCCTGCCAAAGCAAGCTCTTCTCTATTTCAGTCTCGTATTTTAAGTCCCGTATCTGTGGCCAGACGAAAGTAATGTGAAGTGTGGATTGAGAGGGTGATTGGTGTCATATGGTTGAGGTCTAAGAGGTCAGATGTTGGGAGGCTGATTTTGGAAGTGGCTTATCTGATATTGTTGGTTTGTTTTTGGAAACAGCATGCGCGGTTAAGGGGCAGGGGAGACCGTACAACAGGATGGCCTGAATTATGCTTCTGTGAAGTAACAACAGGAAGTGTGAATTTACAGATGACGTGGATTGCAAAGATCCTTAACAGGTGACAAGATTGGAGAAGTGGACTGTATGCATTTCAACTGTCTAAGGGTTTGGAAAGCGTGGGATTTGTGTGATTACAAATGTAATGTAATCTAAGACCTGAGTGGAAGAATGTGATTTGTACAGTTGTGAGGAATAATATTAAAGCGCTAAGGTTAGACATTGCTGGCAGCAGCTATGCCTCTCGAGTTTCAGAGTATATTGCACCAATCATTGATGAAAGTCTTAAAATGGGAATGAATGAATGAGATAGGTGTGTAATCAGTGAAGGATTATTTTATCCTTATGTTAATCCAAAAAATAGATATTAGGAGGAATGCTGAAGCGAGTATCAACATACAGGATGCACAGTATGTATGCCTCACACTCCTAAACAGAGCTGCTAGACTGCAGATTTTCAGTAGGTTCATCAAGCTCTTTCACATGGTCACATTTTAATTTGATACATTGGTAATATAAATTTTAAATTAACACATTTCTTGCAGAGCTCCAGGCTAATAGAGTTGATTTGACTTCAAAGAAGCCACCACTGAAGCCAATTTCAAAACCTAAAGTTAAAGGAAAGCTTCTCTTTTCCTGTAATGTTACTTGGCAGCCTGTGCCAATCCTGCGTTTTTCCAAACTGCTATACAGTCCGAAACACAAACAAAAGTCAACTACAAGTGAAGTTCCTGTGATCAAGATGTTAGCACCACAAATCACTTAATAATACCCAGCCATGACAACCAGATGGTCAGTCAACTTCCAACTCTGAGTCAACTCTGATATATAAAGGCTACAGGAATGATAGTTAGTTTTAGCTCGGCAAGTCTTACTAACTCTCACATGTGGTCCCCCAAGGGATGACATATTCAGCGATTAATAATGTGGACACTGCCAGTGAGCAGCAGCACAATGCGAGGAAACCGGCCGCACATGACAGACTGACGCACTTGCAGCCAGGTGGCCGCGTAACCCTGAGCTCGAGCCGCGCTGGTACTGGCCAGCTGTAACGGCAACAGAGAGGAAGCTGCTGCTTTCTATCAAAACAAAAGTGTGGATAAAGACTAGGGGATGGGCTTTACAGATATGGAAAATTATCAAACAGTATTTTTCTTTTTTTTTTCTTTAACAGGCCTTTATCACACTGAGGGGGTTCAGACTTGTTTCATGACTCCCTGGGCCTTCACAGCACCAAGTTCAGGAAAACACATTTCACCTTCAGCGTGTATCTAATTTCCCATTCCACTTTTAAAAGTTGTAAGGCTATTCTATTGTATACAGGGCTGTGTTATCAACCAGGCTGAGTGTGCAAACAAAAGCCCTGAAAGTGTCCAGTTTAGGTTAATTTAATTGAAAGTTGAGATGATAACAGTCTGTAGGTGCTTCCTGCCTTGTTACCTCATCTTGAGGCCCCGTCTTGAAAACAGTGTCCGTCAAAATCTATGTTTGAGGACTTTATTATTTCAGTTTTGTGCTCATATGTTGTATATTCCTAAATTAATTGATTAAATCAAATTATTGCACAACATATCTATGATGTTACATTTTAAAGCGTAAAAAAAAAGTAAGCAAGTACAATGTTGAACCAGGAAACGTCTTTTTTGCAACATTTGCAACAGCAAGTTTATATAATAAGTCAACTTTCACCTTTGACTTTAATTGTAAAAAGCGGTTTTGTTAATACAGTTAACCTCATGAGTAGTTTATGACCTTGCATCTTCTTGTGTCTATAACTAATCTGGTGAGAAAATGTTACCATGACAGTGGGGGAAAAAATTTCCAAAACTACAAAAAAGTTTGACAGTTTGTTTTTTTTTTTTTTCATGAAGACACTCAAATCTCCAACGACAGTAGCATCCTCTACTCACAAGCCCTAACTGTCATCAGGCTCACTGGCACCCCTTTCAGATGCGTTTATCAGTAGACAACCATGTGCTCTACTGATAAAAGGTGACGCCAACCAAGGAGACAGCATTTCAGTGTCTCTGTCTCCTGAGCCTCCTGTTTCCTCCTGACCGGTCCTTTTGAACGGATAGATAGAAGTGACCCCCTGCAACTGTCCTTTTGTTGTAAACACTTGAAGCTGTGCTGTGTTTCCTTTCAGGCTATGTTTGGTCCTTTTGGTAAATGCACCAAAAAAAAAAAAAAAAAAGAACACTCTTATTAAAAAGAACTACATATTGACAAAGTGCATTCTGGTCAGAGCTGTAGATATTTTCATAAGCACGGTATTGTTCAAGGTTAAAGAGGCCACTCATCAAACAGACTAAAGACTAAAGCTTATTTGGCATCACCTTTTACGTTTTTGACCTTCTCAGGAATGTCCTCACAAACTACCCATTAACCTTTAGTTTGAATGCACCTACACTTTTTCTGTGTTTACTCTAGCGCAAATCCAAACTGTGGGTTAGCATGTTTTGTAGAAGTAAATGCCGGTCTAAGGCTGTTGGTTCTTCAACAGGAAGGGGGATCAAAGATCAATCAGTGCCACAGATGACAGCTGCATTAGTTTAACAGCAAGCCACGCTAGCTGCATGTCCTCTGGGCTTTTTTCTGCACGCACACAGGGTGACCCATCTGTGGACGACACCAGCGTTTCTGTAACTGAGCTTGACAGTTTGTTTTTTTTACACTGAAAACTACGGTAAATTATCTAAACTCAAAGGCCACTTATTTGCCTGTTCTTGAGATTTTGGCTGCATCACATGGTCTTTATCAGCAGATGGAGTTTGCCCAGATGTCGCAGAACTGTAGATGTTCAGCAGCTGGGTGCTGTTCTTTGACAGCATCTTATCAGACGTATGTTTGACAAACTTGAAATCTTTTGCCTTGTAAAACTGAAAAATACTGTTTGAAAACACTTCTGATAAAGCATTAATTTCACCTTTGTGCTGCCAAGCAGGGTTATGTTTTCGGTACAATTTGATTACCTCTCAGCCGTATTACGGGAAAAGAAATTACGGAAAACTGGCCCAATTTTCATGAAACTTGGTGGAAGCAAGGGTCAAGGAAGAAACGGTGTTTGAGCGGATCACGGGGTAGATACAAGAATTATTTTTCACTTTCAGTTACATTACAAGATATGTACATTTTAATAGAGATATATAAAGCGGTTGCACTAGTTTAAACTTGTTTCTATGTGAGCAGTGGTCTCTTATTTAGTTTTTTCAGTATTTACATTTATTTTCCTGACAACTTTTTTACTTTTCCCCCTACATTTTTACACAAATATCTACTCTTTACATTTTCAAAACAGGCTTGTTTTATTATTATTATTATTATTATTATTTGTATTGCATGACTTCCCAACATCAAAGACTGGTGCATGTCACACATGATAGACATAATACGACAAAATCACCAAAAAGGATGTAAGAAATTTACAGAAAAAGGCATGAGAAGGAGACTCAACTCCATTTGAAGTTTATGTTAGCTTTGCACAGAAACAGCCAGTAGAGTAGAGAACCCAGAGAATACTTTTTACTTTTATACTTCTTTACTTACATTTCAGAGCACTAAAGAAGTTGAATCAGTACTTTTGCTTTTACCAGACTATTTTTTTTTGCTACTTCTACTAGAGTAAAGAATGTATGTACTTTTGCCACCTTTGAATACAACCAAGTACAACTACTGTTCTCACCAACTTCAATTACCAGTCTGTGTTCTCTACCCAAGGGCCCTTTGGGGGCATTAATTAGCCCATTACAGCTCAGTGAATCACAATGAGGCGAAGAAGACGCCACACTAGGGGTATAAGGCTCAGCAACAACCTCTGCTGATGAGGACCACAAGATATGCTTAAAAGCTATGGAAAAAAAGAGTGATGAGTGACTTAAGAAAGTTTTGCCAATCTCTCGAATTGTTCTGATGCTGCAACATGCTAATCACACAATGAACATACTCGGTTTCCCAAAATAACTTTATGTAAATCATTAATATTATTCCTGTGACTTTGCCTTTAGGACATTTATGACGACGTAAATCAGTAATGTATTTCAAACAGAACTATGAGGTGTGTCAGCACAACGACACAAGCCTTTCAAAGATTTCAGTTGGTAAAATGAGCATGAAGAAAATAGATTTTTGAGTTTTTCATATTGTCCTTTGTAGTTGGGCGCTGGTGACCTTGCTACAGTGTTTACTAAACCCATAGGGCCCTCTAGGTGGTTCTAGAGGGGGCAGGTGTTTACCTATAGCCACAGCTGACAGGGGCATTCATAACACAGTTTGATCACATTGCCTTTGTTCTAGCAGCCTTTTCAGATAGGAACATCCTCACTTGACGTCTGAGTGGAAAAGA